GAGAGAGAGAGAGAGAGAGCGAGAGAGAGTGAGAGAGCGAGAGAGAGTGAGAGAGACTGGGTGCCCAACAGAAGTGTGTAAGTTTGTGACGTTTTCACAAGGTCCTGCGTCGGTCTATCATTTCTTTGCAGCAGCACCGACTAGGGGATTCTTGCAGCGTGAACCAGAACCCTACCTCCACGCACCTGAAGCCAAGCCCCTGCAAGTCTTAAGCGCCTGATCCATCCAGGCATGACTCCATCAGAGCACTAGAAGAACCTAGACTTGCCAGCACCTGAACTGGGCTCGTCCTGCATGGCGAACACCCGGCATGTACACTTAGCCGATAGGTGGAAGAGATGGTGTCTGGTCATTCTTATCTCGACATCGAGACGTAGTTGCAGGCTTCGGTTGTTAAGCTTTGCCCTGCTCAAGCCTCCCGATTCCCAAACTTTGCGGCGCAGGTACTACAACAAGATATACTTCGGCTCGGACCGCATGTACGCCATCAATGCAGACGGCACTCAACCATCAGTTGCTGCGTAGCTCGCAGAAGTCCTACCCCGACCGTCAATGAAGCATGCCTTCCCACAAGCCTAACCCTCCGTTTTTTGTTGGCATCCTCCTGGCTGTCGGGTAAGAAGCTTGTGAATTCACTTCCCACGGCCATCGGGTCTGCTACATTTAGATTGAGAGTGCCTGCAAGCCCGCTGGAACCCCTCAACCCAACAGCCCCCCATCCTTTAAACGGAGTAGCAAAAGGCAGCAACTGCACGCTTTTGTCCATCTGTGGTGAGAGGCTTTGTTTTATGCACCAGCCTGTACGTAAATGTGTTCTGCGTACCTGAGCCGATGGGGCCGCTTGACCCATTTCTGGTTTCCACAATCTTCCACATTTACATCAGCTACAATGTCAGGGGATGCCCCGAAAGTCGAGTTTGATGGAATGGGGATATAGAAGCTGTAAAAGGTGTCGACGACCCCTGTGACCCCCTCTTTAGATCGAACTGGCTTGCAAGTTACGTTTCAGGTACTGTGCCCAGAACCGTAGTCATGCGAGTTCGCGATGTCACCAATTGTATCTAGTTCTGATTTTTCATCATCCTCTGCAGCCGTATTTTTATCAAGCAGGTGTTACTATTAGCATACGCGGCTCTAGATCCTAGACCACGTTTGGCACGGCAACCCTGAAGGTAGGCATGGACCACTCGCTTTCGAGCCCCATGAACCTCACCAAACCACCAGCACCATAACCAGATTATTAGTGTTTTAGAAACCAATCGTAACGCATAGGCTCTTAAACAACCTATAACTGGACCCAAGCTAAGCCGAAATGAAACAATGAAGCGACCATCCTCACCCAAGTTAAACCCGAATCCGTCCAACGCCTGAAGACCTTCATTCATCCGGATTTGCAAGGCGTACGTGCAAAACATGGCCCCCACCCAGCTGTCAGTTCGCACAGTCTCTGCAGAGTCTCAGGAGGCTCCACAGCGTATTCGGGCAAGATGCTTTACGTGGGTCACCTTCCAGGGTTCTAGAAACAGTCTAGGGTTCTGAAAACAGCACGTTCCACGGGGTCTACATAGAGATTTAGGATACGCCTCGGAACATGCTGAATTGCAGTTCATTGGCCTTTTTTCGGGAGTGGAGCTTGCAGAGGCTGCTCCCTGACCGGTCACACCCCGGAAACTCCCGGAGTAAAGTCATCGCAAGGACCAGTAGATGTCGAAGCGCGGCGTCCATGTCGGCAGGGTCTGCGAATCCTGTGTAAGCTTGTGTGCCCTAAACCCTAAACCGGTTTACGGAAGCTTGTGCGCAGCTGCTAGGCACACTTTTCCACATGGTCGAGTCAATAAGCTTTGCTCTGAGACTCGGATCACCACTTCCTGGAGACTACAAAACCCCTTCCGTGAGAATTATAAACCTTAAGCTCTAAGCTTGTAAAATGGACTTTTTCTGTAGACTCTTATAATACTGCTCTTAGCTGGGATTTGTGGGGCTTTACAAAACGTATGTTTTCGTAGGTTACCTGAAATTGTTTCAGGGATCCTTCGTGCCGTGCATTGCATACACCTTGGAGGGTTTGGGCTTCCTGGCGAACTTATCGAGCCTTGGTATGAAGCCTACCTATGGTCTCCATTGTGGTTCCTTTTTGGGGTTACCTTTTAGGATCCTCAATATAAAATTGGTTAAACCAAAAAAAGGAACTACAATGGGGACTATAGGTAAACCGAAAAAAAAGCACTTCAGCCACTGCATGATCCCTAAACCCCAAGCGTTCCAAACATTAGGAGAAATGCAGACGCTGCGAGTCCTCGGATGGTGTGGGTAATGCCCGCACGCTAAGTTCACACACGATCTCCCTTACTCCACACTGTGTCATCTTTAGATTCCGAGTTGCGATAAGTTCAGATCTCACTCACACACTTCGAAACCGAAAGCCTCGCAGCTCCAAACCTGAAGCTGGCGGGGCTTCATGGTTTACAGGGAACTCCAGAAAGTTGGAATATGGATTAATGGTAGGATCCCCTATAATTTACCTTAAATATTCCAACTTTCTGGCTTCTACTGTAGGGTTTTTGTGTCTTGGATTTTGGGGTGGAGGAGCCCATCCAACCTTCCTTACTTTGTTAATGGACCCGACCTATAGTCTCCATTGTAGTTCCTTTTTCTGGTTTAACCACTTTTATATGAAGGATCCGAAAAGGAAACCCCCAAAAGGAACTACAATGGAGACTATAGGGATTCCCTTAAATGCAGCACGGTAGATATTCCTGGAGCACAGGGCCGGTAGCCTCCAAAATTGAAATAGCCCTTATCTAGGTTGGATTTTGGGACATGTGTTATTTTCCTTATTTGGGTTTATAGGGGACCCTATATATAGATATTTTCAGGGTGTTTAAAGGCCAACCCAGTTATCTTCCCCAAAGCGAATTTTGCTAGGATCTTATTGACGTATTGAATAGAAGACCTAGTTTGAGAGCCTACAGAATGAGGATACAGCATGCTAAGGTAGAGTGTATCTGTGTATGGGTATTGAATCATTAGGGTGTCCACCTGGCCCTGGTTCAGGGCTCGTTGCTCCGTCATGTGGGTAGTTGTCAATATTAAGGTCCCTTTTTCGGGTACCCTGAACAATAGGTGCCGTATTATAATAGGGACCCAAAAGGGACCATAATTTTGAAGACCACCCCTGTAGCCAGCCCGAAAGCTGAGGATGTGAGTAGCTGAGGCTCTAGGGCTTGGAAGAGACAGCAGGCCTGGTTCGTTTCGGCTTCTTTGGCATGTCTAGAGTTTAGGACGTCAAAACGTCTAAACCCGCGAACCCAAGCCATGCAACTTGCAAGGGAGATCGTGATCAAATGTGGTGTGTTCCGCGGTTGGGGGTTCGGAGTGGCGAAATCAAGATCATCGATGCAGTGCTCAGCACGACCCCCGAATTGGTTTTCACTACGGGCTGCCTCAGAGAGTGCAGTTCCGGAATCTGGCTTCGATGGATACTTGGGATGCTGGTCATACGCTTCACACTTTGGCTTATCTAGACAGGATTGCCCAGAGAGCCCAATACCCCTTAATTAAGGAATATACCTTAAATCATACTATGCGCCTTCTTGTAATTTAAGGTATATTCCTTAATTAAGGGGTATTGGGCTCTCTGGGTGGGCCTTCCCAGCACCCAAGCATGGAAGCTGCGGTCTTCTTGATGCATTTGTACCCGCTTTCCAAGTCACTCACAAAGTGAGAGACATTCGAAGCTTCCCTCCAGGGGTCTGGATGCTTGCTTAAGGTATGGGACTGAACACTTAGTCATGTACGACTATTTAGGGTTCCATACTCCAACCAGTCTTTGGTATATTGTTGCAAAGAATTCGTCTGAGAGTCCCCAAGCCCCTAGTCTAGATATGCAGGTCCCTATATTGGAGCTCTGGGTCATGGCATAGTTTGGGATGTCAACGTACAGGAGCTCTGTGGGCGTTGGTTTCGCGGCTTGAGCGTGACACTCATCGAGTAGTGACCTTAGGCTAATCTCCGTCACCTCACTGAGCGAAGCCTCTTATTTAGCAAGGCCCTAAACCCTAAACCCTAAACCCCTAAACCCTAAACCCTAAACCCCTAAACCCTAAACCCCTAAACCCTAAACCCCTAAACCCCTAAACCCCTAAACCCTAAACCCTAAACCCCTAAACCCTAAACCCTAAACCCTAAACCCTAAACCCCTAAACCCCTAAACCCCTAAACCCTAAACCCTAAACCCTAAACCCTAAACCCTAAACCCCTAAACCCCTAAACCCCTAAACCCTAAACCCTAACAACATGGAACCTTCAGGCCTTTGGTGTAAGAAGTCGCAAGCGAGAATGGCAAGGGGTCCCGGGCCTCGGATTACATCCTGGCGATCATCACTAGCGATTACCACTGCGCTACTGTGTCTCGTCAGGCTTTGTACTCCTATTGTGCCAGGGAACCCTCTCATTTATGATTGTCACAGAACCTTCCGCACTCGAGGACGACTTTGTGAAGTATCGCGGAGGAAGATGGTGGTCTCAGCATGTCCCACCGGGCTTTCTTAGACTACATGCCTCAGAAGCCCTCTCACTAGAATCTTGTTCAGCATGTGAGCATCTTCCTAGGCTGCCAGACAGGTCTTCGGCTGCCTTGCGTGCGTTACGGGGCAGGGGGTGTCTTCCCAGAGAGCCCAATACCGCTTAATTAAGGAGTAGACCTTAAATCATACTATGCGCCTTCTTATAATTTAGGGTATAATCCTTAATTAAGGGGTATTGGGCTCTCTGGGTTAGGCTTCGATTCCAGCGCGCCTGCTTTGAGGCAGACAAGATGGCAACGGCACTGCCACTGCAAAGACAACACCAAACCTCCAAGGTTTGATCCTCATGAAACCAGAGCACTCACTCCCCATGCCTCTAGATGGGACAAACTCTAAACCCGGCACCCTAACCCACACTACCTATTTCAACCAAAGTTGCAACTTCTCCAGTTCTGCCCTGTGTCATGTTCACAGGATGTCGCGCGAGATAAGATGAGCTTCGAGAACTTCTGCAACTCTCCCTTGGTTATACGTGGTTTAGGGTTTAGGGCTGTGATTTGTTTATTGTAGATGACAGGTCACTCTGGGTTCCCTGTTGTGAGGAAACTGTTTTACCACGCAGGGTGTCCTTTCCGAAGCTTTCTTTGACGGGTTGTTCCGTTTTGCAAATGGGGGTTGTCAAAATGATGGTCCCTTTTCGGGTACCTATTATAATACGGCACCTATTACTAATGGTATCCAAAAAGGGACCCTAATTTTGACAACCACCCAAATATCGGTTAGAATTCCGGCCGCTGGTGCTCGGGGCTCGATCAGATTTGTGCGGTCAAAGCCCCAATTACCTGAAACCCTATAATAAATCCCCGATTGCAGAAGAGCTTTGTCATGCATGGTCGCCTTTGTTGAAACCCTGAATCCGTATCTAAGCTTTCAGCGAATTGGGGAGTTCAGGGTTTGTTGGGCTTAGGGCTTTTGGTTCGAGCTTCATTCTAGCTTCTGGCTAGCTTCTGTGGGATTGCCCACACTCGGAGCGCAAAGTTGTTTGTAAGCGGTAAGCCTTCTAGACACTGAAGAATTTGCATGTGTTTTCCCTTAAATCCACCACACATCCGGTTATTGGCCGTTCCTCTTATCAGTACTGCCCTTCTTCGCTTTATCTCGTTCGCCCCAAGCCTAGTTACCCGAGAAATCCAAACACCATAATATAGTTATAACTAGTAGGATCCTGGTTATAAGGACCCCAAAATGATATACCTCCCATATGTTCCGGACGAGGTAATCTCTTGCGATCGAACCGCGTGGACCTTTCCCGATTCGGTCGCGGCACGGCCCCAGGGCTTCAATGAGAGGTCCAGGGGAACGTGATTATGAAACCTTGGGCTTTTATCAAGGTTCTTTATATGAATCCTATTTGTTGGGGGTTATAGGCCCAGGGTTTCTTGACCAGGTTCTTATGCAAGCCTATGGCTCGGGTCGAAACTTGCTCCGTGCCCGAAGCATGATTCTACATAGCGCAAGGGGCCATGTTGAAATCGCCTCGACACCTTTGGTTTTGTTAGGGATCAATGGTGCAGGGTTCAGATTGCTCCCAGGGTAAACAGAGGGACCCTTAATAAGGACCCCTAAGTATATACCCTTAAATATAGCCATTATATTCCCATTATATAGCCCATTATAGGGTCGAGGTCCCCATTAAGGGTCCCTCCGTTTCCCCTTTGAATTGCATTCCCAAGACTGAAAGTCCGATCTTGGATTGTTCTCGAAGTTCTTCGGCGGTGTTGACATCACTAGCACCACCGCCTCGGGGCTTTCATTATCTGCACCAAAAGAAAGAAAGCGTCATCGTCATCATCATCTTCATCACAATGTCGAACCAGAAGAAACGTTGAATGTGGCACCCCACAAGCACAAGTCCAGCCCGGTTCAGCTGTGCTTGTGCTTACCTTTGGTTAGTAGGGAAGGGAAGAATGGTAGTAGTAGTAGTAGTAGTAGTAGTAGTAGTAGTAGCAGCAGCAGCAGCAGTAGGAGTAGTAGTGGTAGTTATATTTGTACCCCATTCCTCCATTCCCTACTAACCAAAGGTAAGTGTGTCCGTTCCCGGACCCTTTCCGAAGACCTCGACCCCAAGCACCAGAGATTCGGAAGGCCCGGATCCGATCCTGAAGCTGTTGAGCTGTTTATACTTTGTCATACTTGGGTAACATTTTACTTTTTTTTGGGTACTCAAAACCCAATAAGGAAGAACAATGTACATTTTTAACCCTATCCGATCAATGAACTTGTATAGGGGCCTCAATAATTAGCTATACTATTTTGGGGGTTCCTTATTGTAATTATAGTAGACCATGCCTTTCTTTTTCTAATCATTAAGGACCCAAGTCCGAAATGGAGTCGAAGCATCCGACTCACGAGTGCCAACAACAGCCCTTCTTGAGGTATATGGGAGTCTCCGAAAATAGGGGGACCCTACTATAGTATTTTAAACAGTAGGATCCTTATTATAAGGACCCAAAACTAAGGTACCCCTAATTTTCAGAAAGCCCGACATTACCCCAAGGGTCCAAAGGACCCGATAAGTTGGCACTCGGCTTTAGGATAGTAGCTATGTAGGTTAGGATCTTGGAGAGTATACGATTATTAGGTACTTGGACCCCTGGGGTTAGACATGAGGACTCAGTGGCTGAGGGCGTTTAATCCAAACTGGACCGTGAGCCCTAAAGATATTCCGAAAAGGCTCACACGCTGCGGCAATTCTACGACTCCGCCGTCATCGAGGACCTTCACCTGGCACCAGCCTCTTTTGCGTTTAGGGTTGAGGGTTTAAACTTTGCGTTTTTCATGGTTTGTTCGACATGGTTCGGCGCACAAGTGTTACACTTCTGCTGGAGGTTTTCATGGGAGCTATGCGTCATTTAGGAGATGTGTTTATTCGAGTTTAGTGCCGGAGACTCGGAGACTCGTGTCGGTGTATAGAACTCAGCAGACAGTGTTTAGTTCGGGCTTCTTGCTATGTTGGGCTTGCGGTCCCCCAACGCATGTGATTCGGAGTAAGCAAGGTGCTGCAGGCATCGCGTCTGTAGACTGGTTGAGGATGTGGGGATTCAGAATGATTGAGGGGTCTGTTTTTGTTTTGGGTGGGAAGCTGAATTCCCCCGAGCCTATACCGTAGACCCTACTTGGAGGGTCGGGGGACTTAGTAAGTACGTCGTAAGTATACTTATAAGTCCCTAAAAGGGGGGTTATGGTACTTATAAGTCCTTAAAATAACCAGTTACTAAGTCCCCCGACCTTCCATGTACATCCCAAGCCCGAAACCTCTGCCTGCACCCGGACCCTGAAATTCAGAAAGATCTGAACCCAAATCCAGGAGCTGCATTGGGAGCCTCCGGCCCCAGCATGAGATGGCTCCTAAATGCTCCTAATGATCCCTTAGTAGCTGAGTGGATGCACTTTTTACGCTGTTTTGGGGATCATGTTACCCACTATAAAGCTGAATGTGTACACTTTTGGGGGCATATGAACTCAGCAACTAAGATCCAAAAGATAAGTAGGTAGAGCCAAGTTGTGAATATAGTTATGAATATAGGCCTGAGGCCCTGCAACTTAAGCCCTGAGACATGAAGCTGCAGATGCCCTGGAAGCCCAGTTGAATGGTGGGCTGCCATGCTCTGGTTGCCCACAGAGCCCAATACCCCTTAATTAGGTTGAGGAATATTGCTTAAATCAATCTTAAATCATATTATGCGCCCCCTGACTATTAAGGTAGATTCCTTAATTAAGGGGTATTGGGCTCTCTGGGTGTGTAGCGATGATATAACGTCTGCGCATCTGGGATGCAGATCGAATCTGCCTGTAGTCTCCATTGTAGTTCCTTTTTGGTTTAACCAGTTTTAAAATAAGGATCCTACAACGTAACCCCCTACAATGGAGACTGTAGGTGGAGTTTGAGGGGCACTCCGGCCACCGGACGAAGCACAGCCGCATCCTTGATGCAGGAGAAGTGCTTCCTCAAAGTCGAAGACAACAGGCCATTTTGTTGTTAGTTAGGGCTCCAAGGGTTCACAGAGAGCAAAGCGCTGTGCCTGAAGCTGGCCGTGAGGGTGACTCCAAAAAAGACATGGGGTTTCGTTTTTGAATGTGGACACACGGCTCATGATTAAGCCGTGTTAGTGATGTCCACTATTAGCACGTGTTGTTTTGGTATTTATGGCCCACAGGCAACAGCCCAGATTTTACTTGTATGACACGTTGAATATCTTATTGGACCGAACCAAGGTCCCGTGCCGTCGTCAGCTTCCTCCTAGCCAAGTCCCTAAATAAAGAAGCAAAGACAACTATCAAGTCTTTTCCTCTGGCTCTTTTCATTGTCTCTGTACATTTAGATACCTCCCAAAGCTTACAGATGCCGATTAAAATTACCAGCATTGCCTTTGGCTTCCTTGCTTCACACACATGCATACATACCTAAGTATATAAGTGTGTATATATATATATATATACACATACATGTACACATACATACTGTATACCCCCCCCCCCCCCCCCAAACCAACCGAGTTGCACATGCCCCTAAATAACGACCTGCCGAGATCACGGGATCACAATGCATGAAGTCTGGCAAAATGTCCGTTTGCTGGCATCTCAGAAGCTTTGGAACTTGAAGCCCTATGCCTCGGACTCAAAACAACTACCGTTTTGGAGGACGTTTACATCCAGTTCGTACCCAGGAACCCTTGCTTAGGGGAAGCCCTATCCTCTGATCCTGTACATGCCCTAATTCAGCTCGCCATCCTCCTATCTACCGGCCGTGTCCTGAGGCTCAACATAGCACTGAAGCCTTATATGGTATGGTGTTTTGGCCCACAGGCCTTAAGAAATGGGCCCGTGCAGCCTTGAGCACACGAATGAACTACCTTGAAGCCATGCGCAGGCTGCAGCGTATGGTTGAGCTGGTGCGCATCAACCTCTACTTTCGGGGCGACGATGTCCGGCACTCAGTTTGAAGGGGACCCTCGGGCAATTGCACAAGTCCTCATGCAAAAACGGGTACCCTCACGTGGCTGATTTGAAACCCCCACGTCGCCGAGATCCCAAATCTAGCTGGGTCTCCCAGACCCTGAACCGTTGCTGTTTACAGATACACCATGAAGCCAAATCCTTCAGCTCCAAAACAGTTGCCGTGCTCCCCAAACGGGTGAAAGTCAAGAGCCCTCTTCATGAACGCAAAGAAACTTGAATCCCAAATCATTATGCCAGCCCAAACCCCTATTGACCCTGAACCCTCGGCATGGATTCTACAGGCCCTAAAAACCAGTGCCCTCAACCATCCAGGGGCATCAGCGCGAGTTGCGGATCCAGTCGGAGGTCGGTGTCAGTGCTTGCGAGCTTTCTTGGAACTCGCTGCGCGAACATCCCGTGTACGTATATAAGCCTATGTACATATATGTACATATATATATATACCCTGCAAGTCCAACCCACCGGTTAAACGGGTGCGTTCAAGTAAACCACGCAAAACACTGAACACACCTCAAACACTGAATTTAACATTGTTTCAGTGGATGATAACACTGCTTTCTTATGCACAAAGTTTCACAGTCATTGGTGGTGGTTTCACAATTATTTGGGTGTGTTTCACGGTTTTCTGGTGTTGTTTCACGCTTTTTTCACGCTAGTTTCACGGTCAGCTGTTTGGTGTCTTGAGCCTCTGCATCGATGATGCCTGGTGTGGCGCCGTCCAACCCACCAGTTAAACGGGTGCGTTCACAACCCACCAGTTTAACGGGGTGGCGGACGCCCAGGGTATATTTATATATATATATATATATATTTATTTATTTATTTATGAGTACACAGTAATGCATGTTTGTACAAGAATATGTGTACATATGTTTATTTGTTGTTGACTTATGCATCTTTATTTGAATATACGCGGTGAAGAACAGGGTTCCTATATATAGTATAATTGTATATAATTGCACACACACACACACGCACATATATATATATATATATATATACTAAGCAGACACACATGGATCTTCCGGGCATAGCACCATCCGAAAAGCCTGTTTAAGTCTCTGTGGCGGGGCTGCAGTGTCTGAGGCATTTCGGGTTGCACGGTTTAGAGTGTAAGGGCTGTGGCTTTGCCTTCAGCTTCGGGTTTGTAGTGGTTTGCAGTTTGGGTCTCACGTGGCTTGTCGGGGGTACAACTAACCATTGATATTGGAGGAGCTAAGGAGCCAGGGGTGATGATAATCCCGACTTAATAAGGAGCTAAAGAGCCAAGGGAACCCCAAAACCATTGGTTAGACAAGCTTTTTTCCTCTCTTGCTTAGGAGTCGGAGGACTCGGAGTTGGGGGTTTGGTGTTTAGGAGCTGACTAATTCTGCGGGTTCAACCTCGCCTTTCCGGAGCAAAACACTCCCTCAGAGCGTTCCCGAGGCCCTTCTGTCTGCAAAACATGCAAAACTCCAGCAACATTGTGTGATCCGTTTACATATCTGGCGGGCTTCCCGCTCATTGTAAAGCCGTATCCAAACTGAAAACCTCTAAAGACCCACAAACCCGAGCTCAAAACCCCAAAACAACACCCAAGCCTCCAAACATACGTGAAAGAGGCATAGCCGCATAGCCCTGGCTCAGGTCATGGCGGGCGGCGGAATCCGAACGCGGAACCAGCCGCTGGCGGTCACTGGCCCGAACCACAAACGAGGGCCACGCCCAAGAAGGGGGGGGTACAGCTTTTGAATATGTACATTCCTATCTTCCTGTGACATAATTCGAAATCAAGGGGGGTCTGATATACATTTCTGCCGGGTGCTGAAGCCCGAATGCAGCACAAAGCAAAGTGTGTGTGTAAAGTGTCAGAACCCTTCACAAGTCCTTCACATGTTGTCATGCAGCAAGATTTCTGAACTGTTCCAGATGGGTTAGTCCCACTACTGCACGGTTCATTCACCGAGAGCCGGGCACACGTAATGTATATTTGGGGGGGTCTGGCTACCAATCCCCCTATTTATGTACATTTCAGCCCTGGCCCTGGCTCACTCCCGGAAATGCATATAAGGATACTACGAGATGCTCGCAACAAACACTCAACAAACAGAATATCTCAGAAAACTCATAGACGGCTGCTGCAGCCCGACTACTGCCGGCGCATCCACCGAGAACCGGACACACGTAATGTATATTTTTGGGGGGGGTCTGGCTACCAATCCCCCTATTTATGTACATTTCAGCCCTGGCTCACTCCCGGGAATGCATATAAGGATACTACGAGGATGCTCGCAACAAACACTCAACAAACAGAATTTCTCAGAAAACTCATAGACGGCTGCTGCAGCCCGACTACTGCCGGCGCATCCACCGAGAACCGGACACACGTAATGTATATTTTTGGGGGGGGTCTGGCTACCAATCCCCCTATTTATGTACATTTCAGCCCTGGCTCACTCCCGGGAATGCATATAAGGATACTACGAGGATGCTCGCAACAAACACTCAACAAACAGAATTTCTCAGAAAACTCATAGACGGCTGCTGCAGCCCGACTACTGCCGGCGCATCCACCGAGAACCGGACACACGTAATGTATATTTTTGGGGGGGGTCTGGCTACCAATCCCCCTGTTTATGTACATTTCAGCCCTGGCTGACTCCCAGAGGTACACGAGCATTCCCTGACAACTCTCCACGACCTCTAGGCATGATCTAGGCACTGTCGCTGCTGACTCCTGTCACACTCCCACTGGTATGACCGGTTGTGGATACGGAGAAGACAATAGAACTACTACCAGAAGAGTGCTTGCACACTGCTCGCACACACACGGTCCTGCAAAGCTGCCAGTGCAGCGCCTGTTTTGTTCATGTTCAGCCAGTGTGGAGCCTGTGTTGAGCCTGTGAATGCCTCAAAATCAAGCACCCCCCAAACCCTCTCAGTATATACATTCCCCCCGGCCGGTTAATGTATATTCGAGCGGGTGCCCTGCGAAAACCATTTGGGCGAGGGGGTCACGAACGCCTACCCACAACACCTTATGCACCTACTGTCACCCTCATCTACAAGTCCCAAAGGATACCTGATGCACATATGCGGTGTGTGTGTGTGTGCGCGCATATGTATAGATGTATGGATGTATGTACATATGTATGCATTAGTATGTCTGTATGCATGTATGTAAGAAACAGTTTGATGCATGTACTGTATGTCTGTATCCTGTATGTATGTAGGAGTATGTATGTCCCTCTTTGTTTGTGTATTTATGGAAAAATACCCGTAATTCTACATCGATCTCTTTATATCTATATCTTTACCTATATGCCTGTATATGTCTTCATATCCGTGTTCATACTTATAGATAGGTATGTGTACCATATAGAAGACCCAGAGACGCCGATGCCAAGGTGACGCTTCGCAACGTGGAGAACGGCGATTGGCAGCGGGCTGTTGGGGCCCACAGGATCCGCCAACTCGACATCCCTAAAGCCCTGAAACCCTAAAACTCTGAGCCCTAAAACCCTATCAACCCTAAACGCCTGAACGAGGTAGAAGTTTTGCACATGCCGGGGGCGGTGCGTGGGATAAGGAGCCATTATATCGTTGAGTTCGGCTTCAGAGTTGTTCCCTCGTTGAGGTAGGGTGTGTCTGGGTCCTGAGTAGGTACCCAGAGAGCCCAATACCCCTTAATTATAAGGAATATGGCTTAAATCATATTCTGCACCCCCTAATAGTTTAAGGTATATTGCAGAATTAAGGGGTATTGGGCTCTCTGGGTAGGGCGCAGGCAAGGTTTCAGTTGCAGGTGCTGTCGACATGACCGACTTTTTCGGGGGTACCCGGATATTGAGGCTCTGGCACCCTCTTGTCGTCTTTTCTTGTTTATGTTGGGCGACACACGTTGAATGCTTCGTAGCGCTCCGGAACGGGCCGTCATAGTCTAACATCGGTGGATGAATGCACCTGTTATCCTGAATCAGTACCTAGTCAATTTCCAAAAGGCGGATGCCGCCGCATAGAAGACGAGGCATCAAGTTTGATTTTGCATTCCGGTTTATCTGGGAGTCTTTGACGCTCAATAAGCTCCGTACGCGGCTTGATGATGGCTGGAGCATCGGGCGGCTCTGAGCTAGCATGCCCAGGAAAAGCAAAAGCATGTGGTACCGCAGCCCTTGTAACAGCGAGCTGTTCCTTCAAAAACCAGGAAGGCCGAAGGAAAAGCAACCTCAGAGTCGTTGCTTAGTATTTCTCCTGAACGAAGTTGCCTCTTTCAGACCAGCTGAGCTTGAAGCCTGAGGTACGCGAATCAGCAGGCCATAAAGCCAAGGAAAACTTCAGAAACCCTTAGAATCGCGTTATCAGGGTCTTGCTCGCGCCCCAATTTTATGCCGCCTAGGTCGAGAGATGCTTCGCCACAAAGTTTGGCCTAAGCCCCTTGGCTTCAGCCGGGTTTAGGGTTAAGGATGTTCGGAGTTTGGGGTTTTGTTTTGGGCGTTGCGTTTAAGGCATCGCATCGGGTCTTTTGTCATTCTTGATTGCAGTATGTTCTTTTGGTTGAGGCAAATCTCTGCTTGTAGGGCTTAAGTTTGTGGCGTTATTGTCTGAAGTCGGGTTCAGTTTAATTCTAAGATGTAAAATTCAAGTTTGGGTGTTCATGATTGAAAACAAGTGATGTTCGATGATGGTATTGCCAACGGTATTTATCTGACGTGCTTTGTGCCTTCTGCTTTGCCGTTGCAAAAGGTTCATCCGCTGTGCTTCCAAAGAGGTCCTGGAAGAGGTCTGCCGACTTAGTAGCAAGACTACAGTTTACAAACGAGAAAATCCAGATTATTACAATCACTACATCAAAGGCACTATTAAACCCTCTGAAGCCTAGTCGCGTCCCTAAACCCAAAACCCCCCAAAACCCCCAAAACCCTAAACCCTGTGTGAGTGTCAAGCCTTAAACTCCTAAAAGCCCTATAAGCCCCTAAGCCCTAAAATCCTAAAAGCCCCAAAAGCCCTAAACTCCTAAACCCCTAAAGCACTGGAGGGTAGCAAACCCTAAACCCTAAACCCTAAACCCTGTGGCAGCTTAAAGAGTTTCCATTTGCTGGCGGCTTCGGTGTTCAGGGGCCTTTAGAGTTTATATGGCTCAGAATTTATGGGTATCCTTAGGGGTTCCTTTAAGGGATCTATAGGTTTTAGGAGGTTAGGGTTTAAGGGACTTATGGGGAAGGGTTTAAGATTTGGGGAGCTTCCGAAAATGGGGGGGCAGGGGGGCCCAATATCGTACCCTGAGTCGTAGGATCCTTATCAAAAGGACGGTCCCCAAATAAGGGACCCCTAATCATTCGGAAACTCCCATTTGAGGTTTACTTCTCTGAGAGATGAGGCCCGACAGTTCAAAAGAGCTGCTTTAACATGGCGAAGGACGCCTACAGCTACCAGGCGCCTGCACAGAAGGATTCTACTTTTTTTGGATTTTGCCTGTGGTGATGGCTTTTTCCTATGGCTGCTATGGAACCCAGTAATTACCACTCTTCGATTCGTTACCACCTCCATTTCCTGGACGACCACTGCCATTATTTTGTCAGGGTCTTTCGAGCGCCGTCGTAGAGTCGGTAGAGTTCAAGGTGCAAGAAACAAGCATGTATTGACAACTTGGTTGATCAGAAATAGCAGCAGACAGGCACCCGCGAACGAGTCCCACATGCCCAAAGCAAAACGCCTCACCTAGCATTTCCTTGTAGCTTTTCAGCGGGTTTCCTACAAGTAGTGTTTATTTCACCGCTCCCACTACCAGTGCAGAGAGCCTCATCCCAACTATTCGTAGTAGTCGCGTGGCTGTGCAGGCCGCTTGGCCAGTTTAGTAACAATCACGACAAGCTGACCTCAAATGAGCGTACACCATAAACCTGTGCCACACTTCTTGACCACATCCCTTGCGAAGCCACCAAAGTCCATAGTTCCAGCGGCATAGGTTCTCAAGGCTTACGGTTATCGGTGATAGGTTTCTTTTGGAACAGGGCTTTGGTGGCATAGTATACTACTGTGGGGACGACCAGGGACTTTGGCCAGGGGATTTTAGTCTCACTTCTTGGTTCGACCCCTGTTTAAAGCCCCTACCAGTACTGCGAGTGCTTACACTGCCACACGGGCAAAGGAGAACAGCGCGAACTCAGAGTCAACCCCGGGTATCCTCACGAAGTACAAGACGCAGCTGGACGAAAAACTATGGAGGGTTTAGGGTTCATACTTCATCTGGGCTTGGTGTTGGGAGGGGTGAGCATGTTCTCTCCCTCTCCACATCTAAAGAGCCCAGCACTCGATTCTCTAGACTCTTAAAAGACGACAACAGTGGGGGCATGTTTGGGATTGAGATGCTTTTAGAAGGGGTTTTGCGGCACTCTGCAGACTTTAGGTTCAGGGTCTTTGGGGTTGTTCACGGGCTTTAGAGTTTAAGGCTTTCGGGTCCTGCACAGTCTCAGGTTCGGTTAACGCCTTGGGGCTTTCTGGTGTTGGCTTTCTTTGGGATTCTGTTCCAACCCAAGCAGTTTCACCGAACGCAGTTACGACAGGCCTTTACCGAAACGACTTTTTAGTGGGAAGGTGCACGCGCACGCGAGCACGCCCAAACACACACACACACACACAGCCGCACACAGACGCACAGACACACACACACACACACACACACACACACACACACACACACACACACACACACACACACACACACACACACACACACACACACACACACACACACACACACACACACACCCGCACGCAGACACACAGACACACACACACACACACACACACACACACACACACACACACACACCCGCTCGCGTGTAAATGTCGATATGTACGTATGATGTGTGTCTATATAAATATGTTTGTTTGTATGTATGTGTAGTCCTACGTACGAAGCAAACGCTTGCTTGGATGATGCTCGCGACCTGAACCCTTTAGGCCCTAAACCCTAAACCGTGCGGATCTTTTTTCCACTGACCCCGTGGAGCCAAGGCATAGCATCAAGATGACTGTGAAGGACAACGACGTTTTTCACACTTATGCATCTTTTTTTTGTTCCTTGGGAAGCCCTAGCCCTAGCTTCTGCATTGAGAGTAGGGTTCGGGATTTAGGGCCTCGGTGTGGGCGGACATGCTGGCTGAAACTCCCTAAGGCTCCATGTACCCATATAGTATGTACTTAGGCCTTAAAGTACCTATATAGGGACCCCTTTAAGACTTAAGTATCTACTGTAGAGGTACATGGAGCCTTTGGGATTAAGAGCCCAGCTGCAAAAAAGGGCCCTTGGGGTCTCGGAAGTACCGGACTTCCAGGTTTCGGTCTTGGGACCGTGGGTTAGGCTTTAGGGGTTTAGGATTTAGGGTTTAGGGTTCAGGATTTAGGGTTTAGGATTTAAGGTTTAGGGTTTAGGATTTAGGGTTTAGGATTTAGGGTTTAGGGTTCAGGATTTAGGGTTTAGGATTTAGGGTTTAGGGTTTAGGATTTAGGGTTTAGGATTTAGGGTTTAGGGTTCAGGATTTAGGGTTTAGGATTTAGGGTTTAGGGTTTAGGATTTAGGGTTTAGGATTTAGGGTTTAGGGTTTAGGAGTTAGGACCCGTCTGCATCTCGGGGGATTGCTGTGGAAAGTTCCCTAGACTGTAAGCTTCATGATGTACACGTCCAGTGGATCCCAGAAAGTTGGAACATGGATTAAGGATAATTAGTGCTAGGGTGAATACTTTTCCTTCAGGGGATGAGGATACTTATGTTCCACCTTTCTTGCTTCTACTGTATTTAGAAGAGAATTATCCTCTGCATGCTGCTGATACCGATGGCTGCGACAGGCATCTACGCAGCACCTCCAACCCAGATCCAAGACTCCCCACTCAGGTCTGGGAATTTAGAGCTTGAGGTTTAGGAATTTAGATGTTCTGGGTCCCAGAGAGTCTGGGGCCGTGTGCTCTGCCACGATTCTACAGCGTACTGACGCCGAGCAGGAATCCCAATTCGGGTCGCACCTCATGCCGCGCTGAAGGGTAGTACTTGTCTGGTCACTTGGTTTATTGTTTTGTAGGATCGTAACTGTAACCATAACAAAAGGCTATCCCAGAGGAGGTATTACAATACAAACAGCAAATAAGAGCTGCTATTTTGAGGAGAGAAAATCCATATCCTACAGTTTGATGCCGCAACTAGTTAGAGTATAACATATCCCTCGATAAGAATGACCAGGACCGTACCAGACATGAGCTCAACCAGATCGGGCTTCCAGATGGCACGCCCTTCATGACGGACGCTGAAGGCCGACAAGAGACGGTTTGTGGGCTTTGGTGTTTAAGGTTTAGGGTGCGGGATCAGTGATTCTCATCGTTCTTGCGTTGCTCATATGTGCATCCCCGAGGTCTCCTAAGGTGACTGAGGAAGGCTCTGCCAGAGAGCTTCGCTGCCGGCATACACTCCAAGTCCGTGCTTAAAAAAAGGGTACGGGATGTTGAAGCCTTCTGGTTGAGACGAGAACTTTGATGGCATTTTTGCAAGCTGCTGCTCTGCGCGTGCAGGGGCCAAGAAGCGAGGTTTGGGGAGTTTGGATCTTGTAACTTGTATAAAAAAACTTCAGGTGTTCAGAGCCGGCATGCATCTTCGGGCGTCATCTCATTTGAATGCTTGTAGTCGCTGAGCATACCATTCCAAAGTTTCAGGCAAGAAAGGCTTTTCCAGACTTCTGACTGTGACTAAATGGCTCGGTCCGAAAGCTGATCCGAGGCCTTGAACCCCAAACAATCGTAAAGGCAGACACCGACATGGAGACGTGTTCTACATATAGTCTCCATTGTACTTCCTTTTTGGGGTTACTTTTTTTTAGGATCCTCACTATAAACTTGGTTAAGCAACAAAAGGAACTACAATGGAGACTATAGGCAGCCTACAGTGGTAGTGAGCGCTTCAGGTGTTTTGGGACTTCTTTTTTCCTGCGCAGGGGGAGAGCAAATTTCTTCCGGTCGCAAGGCGTGCAACACTGGACGTGGGCGCGCGTCACCAACAACAAAGAAGAGGACTCGGCAATCTTGGCCTACCATGCTTCGGTGGGCGTAGGAACTACAGAACCTAGACTATAAGTAGACCCATATGCGGAAGTGTTCAGAAGCCGGAGGTGTTAGACATCAGTGCCGACGCCAGTGCCGTGAGGAGGTCAGGAGGCAGCCTCGAAAACCTCGGGTCTTCTAGTCTATTAGGGTTCCTTTAAAGGGTTCTATAATGATTACTATAAGGGGTATCATATGTTATAAGGATTTAGGGTTCCTTTAAAGGGTTCTATAAGGATTACTATAAGGGGTATCATATGTTATAAGGATTTAGTATAGGGGCCTTAGCTTAGATCCCCAATACCCAACCTTTAAACGTTTTGGGTTCTTATGGTTTAGTAGGAATCGGAAAGTTTAACCTTTTATTTCTGTGGCTTATTGGGGGAGTAAGTTAGGGGTTACAGGACCAAGGTGAATTAATCAGGTTCGTTTTCCATCTTTATCAAACCCTGGATCAACTGCAAGTGTAAAGCGCAAAGTCCTCAGCCAGTCCAACAGCCATCGGGTGGCTTCTCTCAATCTGGGTCCCTTTCAGATTCGTAGTGAAGTGGAGCAACCGGATTCCTTTCGGAATCCCCGCAGAGACCCTGCCCTAGAGTACTACAGAGGCCCCATCTCCTTGTTGTCTTCTGACGTTCAGCGTCACCCTCACAACACCTTCGTGATTTGAGTACGAGGCAATCAGCCAAGACTTAAGCTGTAGCATCACATCTCAGAGAAACCACACCAGGTACTATACGGGCTTAAATATTTACCAATGCTCTTTTGGAAGTTCCTTGATTAGAGTTATAGCATAATATGCTCCAAAACCCTATTACAATTATTGAGGCCCCTATACTAAATACCTATAATAGCCCTTATAGTAGCCCTTATAGACCCCTTTACAAGAACCCTATTCTAATTGCTAAGGCCCCTACATTACGGGGTTGGCTCGGCGAGTGGCAGGAGCTGATCAACAAGCTCCAGAAGTACGGCGTGTGCCTGGACGAGTTCACCTGGCAAAGCTTCGTGGTGCTTCGCCGCAAGGGTGTAGAGCTTGGGGTTTAGGGCTTTAGGGTTTAGGGCAAAGCTTCGTGGTGCTTCGCCGCAAGGGTTTAGGGTTTTGGGCAAAGCTTTGTGGTGCTTCGACGCAAGGGTTTAGATTTAGGGCAAAGCTTCGTGGTGCTTCGCCGCAAGAAAAACAAACCCTGCTTCAAAGCCAAGTTGCCTACAATAACCCCTGATATTCCTTGTCCCAACTTAGAGACTGTCCTGGAGAGAATTTGAGAATACACGGGGATCTGATATGCAGCCTGAGCACGCCCTCGCGGTAGGATCCTACAACCGGGACCCTTAGAAGCATGTCTCCTTCAATAACCCTTGGTTGTAGGAAAGCCACGACTTGCTGCATAGTTACTGAACGCGAGATCTGGAATCTATACAATACACTCGCGCGCTCCAATTGACTGACAGCCTCCAGCTCGTGCCTCCACACCGGAGCCCGGCTTATTTGACGATGTCGTGTTTATGCCATCTTCCACCGAATGAAACACTCCAAACGTTCCTAAGCCCCAGTCACGAGAAACTCAGCCCGAATCGCTAAACTCCATCGCTTGCAGACCAAATAAGAAAGCACCTAAGCCCTTGCAGAGCCTTCACAGGAACTCGATGATCAAGTCGACGACCTAATACCCTGAGCCCTGAACCCTGTCCTTTAGCTTCACATATCCCGATGCAGGACTCGTCGCTGTCTTGACTAGTTCCCATGTAGTTGCAGTCTCACTCAGCAGACCCCGCGCCATGTGCCTGGCCTCGATTGTCCGAGTGTGAGCGCCGAAACCCTAAGCCCTACATCGAAAGCCATGATCAACTCTACTGTAATACTAACCCCTAAACCCCTAAACCCTAATAACCCTAAACCCTAATCCCTGTAACCTAACCGAAAGCTGTGGCCCTCCTAGGAGCTCTATGACGAAGTCTACGAGAAGCATCAGTCGCAGCTGGAGCCCGTAGGGGGCGAACTGGTGAGGTGCACAGGGCTCCGAGGAAGAAGGGGCTATATCCTTCTTTCTATTATGTAACTGTACCACAAGATAGTATGTTTACACATGAATGAACAAAAAATATGTGTATGTATAGATAGGTAGATAGATATACAGACCCGTTTTTGGGTAGTGAGGGCGTTGTTTAGTTTGTATACTTTCGCAGCCCGTGAATATGAGTGAAAGGTTCCTTGTGGGTTTGCGGAGGGCTGTGGAGGCCACAAGGCTCTACCTATAGTCTCCAATGTAGTTCCTTTTTTCGGTTTTATGGTTAGGACCCTATAATAGAGATTTTGGTTAACCAAAAAAAGAACTAGAATGGAGACTATAGGTAGATTCGAGTAAGCAAAGTGTCAAATCTTCACACGCCCCACAGCCGTAACACGAATCGCTTGAAGGTGCAGCTCCGACAGTCGCAACTGCTTCCGGGGTCGTTTCATGCACCGTGTAAGCCGTAAACACACAAGATCGACAAGTAGCTGGAAGCGTATAACTCTCCTAATTCAGCGCTTTTCCTCCCGAACTTAAGGCATGCAACTCGGGACACTTTGAAAGCTCCATGTTTATAGGTTTCACACATGTTTGGGGGTTCGGCATGTGGGTTTCGGGCTACGGCCTGTGTTCTTTGGTGTAGATTCGGCTAGAGCTAAACGAACCGCCTGGAGGTATGTCCGCATCGTGAAGATTTGGCTGTGGGCCAACGTCCTGCTTCACGGCAGCACTATCAAAAGACCTTATCCTGATCTTGTCCCAATTAATGCGTAGGGCTTCGTGTGAGTCATGGAGCGTACCCTAAACCCTCAACGACACCAGCAACTGGCGAGCCGGCGCTTTTGGAACTCCCCAACACTAAGGGGTTGGGGTTTCCGATGGGTTTCCGGATACAAAGAGGGTTTACGGTTCAGTCCTGCCTACGAAGCCCTGAAATCGCAGCCGACCTACGGCTGAAAGGGTTTCATTTCATTCTTCGAGAATAAAGCTGCGGTGTCAAATTGCACGCCCTGGATGTTCAATGCCGAGCGTTTTGGTAAGTACCTATAGTCTCCATTGTAGTTCCCTGTTTGGGTTCAACCAAGTCTATGTTAAGGATCCTATAAGCGGTAACCCCAAAAAGGAACTACAATGGATACCATAGGTAGGGGTCGTGAAGTGCCAAAGCCAGCTTTACTTCTCCCCGAACATCCCAGGAACTGCCGGCATACGCTGGTGCTGAGGAGTGTTGTCATAGGGATCCTTAGGGGAGTAGGGGGGAGGGGTGTAGGAGTGTAGGACTATATTTCCTTAAATAGGCCTTATTAGTCCTTATTATGGGCCTTAAGGCCCCCTACCCCCCTCCCCCTACACCCCTAAGGATCCCTATGATGTTGGAGGGGTCCGCCACGAGTTTCTAGTTGTCCTAACCTCAGCACCCCAGCCTGAAACGATAGTGTCCTGCTACAGGGGCCTTAATACTTAGAATAGGGTTCCTTTAAAGGGGTTTATAAGGGTTACTATAAGGGATCTATAATAATGATACTATACTACAGGGGCCTTAATGATTAGAATAGGGTTTTGGGGCCCAGTATGTTGTAATTAAATAATCAGAAACCCCCCGAAACGATATTGGTATTATTTAGGCCCCTATAGTATAGGAAATCGGATGGAGGAAATTTTCTGAGTCTTTTGGAGCCTTAGGTTAGACGCCGAAGGCTCGGGGTTTGTAAGGTCTGCTCGCAGAGGATGTGGGGCTTGACTTTACAGGATTAGGGTATACAGTACTTTTAGCCTAGGCCGGGATGTTACTCAGCTCGAACCTCACCTCAACCGCCCAGCTCCCCTCATCCGTTGCAGGACCAAGCAGCAGCATTCTCGGACCCATGTGATGAATTCACCCCGAGTGCTGTCCATGCGGATGTCCGAGGCCGGGGACCAGAAAGCTCAAGACCCTAAGCCAGCGTTTAAACTCTACCTATAGTCTCCATTGTAGTTCCTTTTTTGGTCTAGCCAGTTTTATATTCAGGATCCTAAAGGGTAACCCAGAAAAGGAACTACAATGGAGACTAGAGGTAGGAGAGTCTCCTGCTTTTTCTAGGGAATCCCCAACCTACTCGACCGCAGCTTACGCCGCCTTCTTCCACAGGTAGCGAAGCAACGGTCATCATAGATACACCTGGAGACCTTACTTCTAAGGTTCCTTTAGGGTTTAGCCTTTAGGGTTTGCAGACGGAGGTCGACTCCGCTCCATATGACACAGAGAAGCTCTCGGATAAACATAGGGGCCTGCATAATTGAAATAGGGTTTCGGGGCCCATTATAATATGAGTATAGTGGGGGCAATTCTCTGTAGGCTCCAGCAATATAGGGATCAAGAGGCTAGACTCGAGGTCTCCGGCGTCGCGTTTGATGCTTCGACTGCACCCTCTGTGTCCCATGTTCTGTTTGGTTCTTAGTAGGGAATGGGGGAAGGGATGATAGAGACTAGCATTGGGGATTTTATAGGGACTACTAGAGGGATCCATTCCCCCCTTCCTTACTAAGCACCAGGCAGACTTGGCATCTTTTTGGTGTTCTGTTCATGTTTCAGAAAAATATTTGGGGGCCCTGGGTTAAGGTATGTTTAGTTCTGCATGTCGTTTCAAAGCGGTTCTCAATAAGCCTATCCTTAGCCCGAGTTGCATGGAAACAAGAAACCCGTGGGCCCCATGACACGTCTCAGCCGGGATGCTTGAAGATAACGGGGGTTGTTCGGTTTTGCACTTCTCAATCACGGATTCTGTCTGTGGATCCCACAACCTATTGTTTTGAGGACTGGTCCCTGTCATCGCGAGGTCATAAGCTGCACTTTCGTAGGGTTCGGGGCTGAACAAGCCCTTTCGCCTTCACATCCCTTGGCCCTTGGCCGTAAACCTTAAATCTGCATTGCGCGACCCTAAACCCTGGACCCTGAACCCTAAACCCCACAAAAGCCCTAAACCCAGAACCCTGAACCCTAAACCCTAGCAGTTTCACTCAACAGACCTCGAATCACATGCCTCGCCCGGATCGTCCAAGAGAGAGAGAGCCGAAACCCTAAACCCCCCTAAGTGACTGGTCAGGAGCAGGGTTGGCAAGAGGCCGTGGTGGAAGCTCTAACTGGACGCCTGGGTATCAGTGAGGCCGGCTCGATGCGGTCAATACGGGGGCGCCAATAGAACTCCTAATCCTAAATCGTTCTGGTAGGTTAGGGTAGGACGAGCCTCCAGTCAGGGTGTTGGTTTCGGTTGCTCGGAGATTACGGGCGATTGTTCGAGGGCGTCTGTTTGTAGCGCCCGGTACCTATGACTAGCCTGTCGGCGCATCGTGGGGTATGAACAAAGCCAGTGTTTTTCAGACAAGCATGTTGCGATTGCTTGTGCAACGACATAGTGCCGCAGCTGCTGTTTATTGATGCTATGGTGCTGCTGTCGTTGTTGTTTGTTGTTGTTGTTGCTGCTGCTCCTCGCTCCATGCTCCTGCTCCTGGAGTTGGTACTATTGCTGTTGCCGTTGGCGGCGTTGGTGTTGCTGCTGTTCGTGGTGGTTTTGGTGATGCTGGTGGCGATGCTGTTGTTGTTGTTGGTGGTGGTGCCGGCACTGCTGGTGGTGCTGGTGCTGGTGCTGATGTCGCTGCTTCCGTTGCAGATTAGATGTTGTTGTTCTAGTTGTCGTTGCTGTTGTGCTGATGTCGTACTACGCTAGTAGATCCGTTTGCCATAGCCTTGCGACCGGCAGGTTTGGTCGATTGGGCGGTGTTGTGTTGTGACCATGATTCGGGATATCGGGATAGCCAGCTGCAGGCTTCAGATCTTGAGGGTTTGGCGGCCTTTGACTAGGGCTCTACGAGTTTAGGATTCGCGGAGTTCCTCAACCCAAACATAAACAGCCACGGTCTCGACAATGACAGGGTTACATATAGCCGATATAGCCGAGAAAGCTTACATCTGCCGACTCAGCTACTAGGATACTCGGTTTTGGGGGCATGGCGCTTTCCGCAGACCTCAGTGTGACTCTCTTGCCATCTTTGAAAGGGGTCATCAGAGTAGAGCTTCGGATCCAGCGGAGGTGGGAAAGGGTTTAAGACTGAGGCGAAAGAGGTGTGTAGGCTGGAGGCAAAGGAAATTTAAGCTGACAAAGAAACCGTCAAAGTGGGAGCCCTCGAAGGCCTAATGCCAAATTGCCACATCACCAGAAATTCAGAATTGCATCCCTGAACTCTGCACACTCCACTCTACAGCCAAGCAACCTATAGCCCGTCAGATGCCTTGCCATGCAGGTTGAGGCCAGCAATAAGGCGGCTTCAAGCAACAACAAGCAAGCAAACAAGCTCCGACCCCAGCCACAGACCCCAGACCATAAAGCTTAAAGCCTGAACCAGAACCCCAAGCTCGAAACTTGCAAACTCTGCACCCCCAACCCCACATCAACGCTTAGACCCGAAACCCTGAAGCCAAAAGCCTGGCACGTCTTTGACCACAAACCAGCTGCAGAAGAAGCCATGACCTCCGACAGGCTTTGCAGCGCGAGGGCTTGCACGTCAGCGAGGACCGGTTGAGGATTCCTTTCACGGTAGCGGGATTCCGTACCGGGAACTCTGGCTTTAAGGTTTGGTCCTGGGTTTGTTTAGAGGTAGCTTTGGGGGCTTCCGAGTTTAACGGTGTAGGATTTCGAGAGAGGGTTTCTGGAACCGTTCAGCAGCTCTTGGTCCTTGGGATCTCCGATCAAAGGAGTTCGGGCTTCCATGTTTATTATGTGGCATGAGAGCACTGACGGATTTGCCTTTTGGAGGTTCTTGTGCAGGACTACCATGGTATGCAAAAGACGGTCAAACAGACAGAGAACTTCGAAACGTCGAGCATACATATGGCACATGGGGCATGCGCATAATTACACAGGGCATATGGAGCATTCAGCTGAAGCAGGCTTACCGGTTCTGGCCTCACCACTTCCGGAGGATTTAGTCCTGACGACGGTCAAGACATACCAGGAATTTCCGATCATTTCCATATCAATGTGGGTGGTTGTCAAAATTGTGGTCCCTTCTTGGGAACCCTAAATATTAGGGGCCGTATGATAATAATGAGAGGACCCCAAAAGGGACCACGATGTTGACAGCCATCCATGTATAACTCCAGGGCAGGTGCCAGATCCAACCCGTTGCTCAGCAATGAAGCATTGCGCCTTTTGGGGCCACCAGCAAAGGGGTCGCTTACTACCTATAGTCTCCAATGTAGTTCCTTTTTTGGGTTAACCAGTTTTATGGTTAGGACCCTATAATAGAGATTTTGGTTAACCAAAAAAAGGAACTACAATGGAGACTACAGGTAGTCGTCTTGACATGCATCAGTGTACTCAGGATTATGGTTTGCACCTGGGAGCCCTATCCCCTAAACCCTACAGAAGACTGTTGGGTCTTGGGGTTGTTTTTCTTGTTGTGTCCCGTGGTGTACAAGTAGCAAGCTCAGTGGACCCAGTGCCTGAAGCCATGCCTGCCTGGTGCGAGTGTGTGAGTCGAAACCCTAAGACACCTACTAAGGGATGGCTGCGAGTCCGAAACGTGATCCACGCCAAAGCCCGAAGCCCTACACCCCAGACCAAAGCGCAACGCCTCTGCCATCTCTCCGTGATTCCGCCAGGCAGCATTCCGACAAGAAGTTGAGTTCTCTCCAAGTTTTCCTGGCTTGAAAACGATCCCTGGAAGAATTCTTGCAAGCTTGGGGTCTGAATTTTCGCGTCCCTGCACGAAGGTTGGCCTTGGCGGTCCACGTTTACATGTTGCTTTTGAACTTCACTTCACTGGAATCAGAAGTGCTGTTAGGATGTTTTTTTGCAACTCCTCCCTGTTCTAGTTGCCAAGATGTGTGACCACCGTCGCTGTAATCTTGTGTTGTAGGGACTGACTAAGCCGTGTCGGAGTGGACAGAGTACTGTACGACATGGTGGCTCTAAAGCAACAGTACTCCCTGCTTCTCCCCAGTAATGGGAAGAAGGAAGGATCCACACAACCCTAAGCATTAGAAGCGCCAGCGCCGAAACCCCAGTATGCTGGAGGATTCAAGGTCCAACTTGTGCATATCCCGGCTTTCCAGAAACTGCGGCTTTCGGCTCGCATACTTGGAGGGTCGGGGGACTTAGTAACTGGTTATTTTAAGGACTTGTAAGTACCATATCCCCAATTAGGGTCACTTATAAGTCTACTTACTACCTACTTACTAAGTCCCCCGACCCTGCAAGTAGAGTTTAGGCCCTGAGTCGCAGGAGCCCCTTAAGCATAAATGTTGGCCGTCAGCGATTGGGGAGGGTTGAGCAGGTTCCCAGTCTGCATCGCCCCTTCCGGCCAGCACCCCAACCTTGCTTCGACTATATATGGGAGTTTGCGAAAATTCGGGGTACCTTCTTTTCAGGTCCGGAGAATAAGGGTCCTACTATTTAGGGTACTAGATTAGGGTCCCCTATTGTCGGGAACTCCTATATGCTTAGGGCTCATCGGTTTAGAGGCAAGCCCAGAATATTCAAGCTCTGGTCTGAGGCACTACGGGATCAGCGAGGTGCATGTCGAGGTGCTGAACCCGCATGACGCCCGGAGGAAACAGATTCTGTTCATGGGGCAGGGCTGCATGCAGGGTGTCTTCTGATGTTATGTATCCCTTTGGGAAACCTTGACGCCCTGTGCCCCCGGACGGTGCACCAAATGCATCCCGGGGCAGATGTATCCCCGCCGAATTAGCCACAAAGCCGACTCTGCAACTGCAAAACGAGCCATGGTCCAGACTTTCGTGCTTCTGTTGGGAAAAAGGTCCCATGAAGGAAATATCTAGCTTGAACATGCCCGGCATCCCAAACCCTAAGTCCTAGAGGTTTGCGGAGGCCTCTTTATCTCCGTGAACTTACTGAGTTTTGGTCTCTGCCTTGGCGCTGAGGATCAGCGGTGGACGAGCATTGGACTTCCTGCTGGAGTAGAGTTCACGTTCGTCCGCACACAGGCGGTTTAGGGCTTCCGGTGTTTCCACTGTTTCAGCATCAGAAACGCACCTTTATTCCTCAGTCTTAGTCCACAATACTAATCCCGTCAATCCTATACAGCATGATTGGGAACGAAGCCAAACCCCTAACCCCCAAACTTGCCTGCCTCGATCTTCTGTCGCTGCAGATCCGTTCGAGTAGCAAAGTTACGACTATGAAGTGGTTTAGTGTTGAGGGTCTAGGCGGAGGTTGGGGTTCGAAGTTGTATAGTCCCTAAACTCCTAAACCCTAAACCCATGGTTCATTGAAGGCAGCTGTTCAAGACGGCCTTCCAAAAAAAGCTCTGGGGAGGGTTTGGGCGCCGGCAAGGACATTCGTTATGTAGGAGTCAAGCCTCACATCACAGTATAGTCTTTCAGGAACACTTCCTTAAAAGCAAAATGCTACGGCCCTTAAATCACTTCGTTTGTCCCCAGCGGATGCTGTTGCTGCGAGGGGATTGACCTGGACCCGACCCCTAAGTCTTGAATAAAAAACTGCCCGGAACAGACGTGGGAGGAAATAGGGGACCCTACTATAATGTCCTAAATGGTAGGATCCTTACTATACGGAGCCTGAAACAAGGTGCCCCTAATTTCGGAAACTCCCATCTCTTCAAGCTGCCGACACATCGATCCCCAAAGCCCTGCCCAGAGAGCCCAATACCCCTGAAATAAGGAATGTAGCTTAAATCATAATAGGAATCCCCATATAATTTAAGGTATATTCCCGAATCAAGGGTATTGGGCTCTCTGGGTAAACCCTGAGGCACCCCTGAAGTAGTAACTCCTACAGTCTAAAGTTGTCGTGCAGACTTGCATCCCTCCTGAGAGCATGCGAGTCGAAGACCCCAATGATAAAAATGAATGAATCGAAATGCTGTCGCTGAAACCCTAAACTCTTAATCCTAAGCCCTAAACCCCTGAACCCTAAACTCTACATGCCTCGCCTGGTTTGTCCGAGTGTGAGCGCCGAAACTCTAAATCCTGAGCCCTGAGCCCTGAATCCGCGTCCCTCCGTTTCCGGTCTGGACCTCCCTGTTCGCAGGAAAGTGCCGGAGGCGAGACGGACACAGTAGTGACGAGGCACCTGAGGGTGTACTTGGAGGTTCATGGGTAGTTATAAGTGGGTTATCAGTCCTTTAATATGGGTTATAACTATAGTTATCTTACCTATTACCCTACTTATAACTAAACATGAACCTCCAAGTGGGCTTGGAAGCATACCTAAAGGCTCCATAGTAGTTCCTTTCTGGGGTTCGTGTGAAAATAATGCTGGGTGGTTCCACTTCGCGCTACATGACATTATTTGGGCCCACATTCAGGTTTCTAACAGTGTGTTGCCTGTTGGACTTCAGGTCGTCAAATCCAAATTTCTGCATTTTCAGTCTCGATGAGACATGTCCCCTCTGACGGTAGCGCTGGCTCGGTGTTATCGTGCTTCACTTTCGTACCTGCCTGACAAACTCTTGGCCTGAAACGCTCTTCATGCCGCTATGTGCCTTGTACCTCTCAGCAGTCTAGCCTGCACAGCGGCAGCCGACGTGAGATCACCTTGGAAATTGATGTTGTAGAATCCCATGAGCCATTAACCCGACACCCTCAACCCTAAACCAACACCTCAGCAGTTAAACCCGAAACACAAGCCCACCACACATCACCCGAAGTCTTAAAGTAAAAGCCAGAAAGTTGGAATATGATTATCCTAAACCCTTTATGGTACATTATAAGGTATCCTACCCTGAAACCATATTCCAACTTTCTGGAGTTCCCTTTAAATCTCAAACTACTTGGAGGTTCATGTTTAGTTCTAAGTAGGGTAATAGGTAGGATAACTATGGATAACTGTAGTTATAACCCATATTAAGGGACTTATAACCCCACTTATAACTACCCATATCCTGTGCCAGCTTATCCGAAGGTGGGGATGGACAAATTCCCACGAGCTGGATGCGGAGACCGCTTTCGTTAAGCTGCCCGGCTTATACTTAGATCCCCAATACCCAACTTTTAAACTTTTTGGGTTCTTATAGTTTAGTAGGGATCGGAAAGTTTAACCTTTTATTTCTGTGGCTTGTTGCGGGAGTAGGTATATCAGCTATACTTAGGAGCTTCTGCCTCAATCGCCATCGCAATCGCCAATATCCCTATCATCCCCCATCACAGTCATGATCGCCATGTCTTTTACAGGCATTGACAGCATAGAGCCTGTACTTGTCCTGCTTATCGTCACCTTCTTCTTCGCCATCAAGATCGTCATCCTCATTTTGTGTTGTGGCCCTTCTTGCGCATCGTGGTGCTCGCAGCCTTCAAGTTGATATGCTATTATTTTCTTTTCGTTCCGGGGATTACCACCTGGAGATCCTTCTCCTGATGATCCTTGCCAGTGGCATCAGCAGCTTCATCATCATCATAATCATCATCATCATGTTTATGGCCGTTACTGTCAGCACCATTGCCGCGGCAATCGCGGTCATCAGCACTCATCGCAGCAGCTCTCACGAAATGCTACTGCGCATCTGGTTGTCCTGGCATGAATCGACTAGTTTCAGCGCCTTACTCGTCAAGACCTGCCGTGGCACCTACATGCCTTAAGTAGAACACTGGCTTAATCATTAGTATAGAAGCCTGAGTCATTACCAATATCAGCCCCTTCTAGCCCCTAACCAATCCTTACAGTTACACCAGTAGACAAAGCGCATATATCAGCCCTAGCATCCATCAGGTTGCAAAAATCAAGCTCCGCTCACAACTCGCGACTCCTTACCTCCTGCCATTAGCCTATTGGGAGTTTCCGAAGATTAAGGGTACCTGACAAAGGGGTTCTTATAATAAGGAACCTACTATTTAGGGTGCTATATTAGCGTCCCCTATTTGCGGAAAGGCCCTGATAGTCAGCCGTGGAACCCGAGCCCCATATCGCTGTTCAGAGTTCAGGGTTCAGGGTTCTGAACAGCAGAAGGCCCAACAACTCACAGAAATCGGAATATCCCCGCCTTGCTCGCAGAACCCTGTCAAACCAGGCGCAAGTCGGTCTTCCCTTCCTGGAAAGACGGGAGCTTAAGGCGACGGAAGCAGCCATGACTGAATCAACAGGCTTCAGGGTTCGATTCTGAGTCGGAGGGGGTTGAAAAGTCAGATGTTTAGTAACCATTGATATTGGAGGAGCTAAGGAGCCAGGGGTGATGATAATCCCTACTTAATAAGGAGCTAAAGAGCCAAGGGAACCCCAAAACCATTGGTTAGTATAGACTGGTAGATACATTTTGCACCATGGGGCTGCTATCCTTTCTATCCAAGACGCGAGGGATCCGAAGAAGACTGAGCGGTTCGGATCTTCGGACGGGGAGTTCAAAGACGCATCCACAAGAGAAGCTGCAACTAGGTAGGGCTTTGGGACATTTTATCTTTTCCCTTATTGGGCTTAAGAGGGTCTTACGAACTAATATTTTTCAAAAGCTTCAACAGCCCCACCTAGTGCAAGGGCTTAAAAATGAATGCCTACAGTCAGGTGCACACTCAAGAGGTTCCCAACGGGGTTTAGAGCCCAAGAGCATGTCATTTTCGAAACGGACAGAATGTTCAAAAACTTTGCAGAGGTTGCAACTCAAAACGGGTATCGCATGAGGCGAGAGCGTGAGTTTGTAAGGTCCATGCAGACTAATGTTGTTGAGGGCGTGCTCCTGAAGTTGCCAAATCTGATGCATTACTGACGACGTCTCTTTCCTGCACCCGGATGCTGTTCATCAGCAGCATGGGTGGTGTCGCAAAATCTCCCGGCTACTGAGGCAAAAAAGCGTCCACGAGCAGGACAGACAGGCAACGCTGAATTTTGTTGTTGTTGCTTGAGTTGAGCTGAAACTGGGATGTCTGACTGCACTGCCCGCACCTTAAAGCCCTAGCCCACAAACCCTTCAAGCAACGAGCCTCAGAATTGGAAGATTGGGGTTCCTGAGTAGTCCCTGCGACTACCCCCTTGTGGTGCCTAATGAATGCAGTTCCATTGCGACCCTGCATTAGGTCAACGATATCGCTAGCAAATTAACAAACCTGGGTTCAGGTAGAAATCCCGGAGCCTCTGGAGATCCGCGGCACTCATGTGACCTGGCTGCAGCTTCCGCATGTTTGAACGACAGTGTTGCTGGCTGTCAGAATTTATGGTCCCTCTGGTTCGGCCGGGCGAGCGCCTCCAATGCCAAAAGTTCTCAGGGTTTAGGGTTTAGGGCTGCAGTGCCAACAGTCAGCATTGATTCACTCAGAATGCATGGGGTGTGGCGTTGGCCGGTGAGTATGGTTTTTGTCATAGCGTAAGGTAAATTCCTTTGCTGCTGGATGTTGGGGTCTCTAGGAAAGCAGTCGGTGGTGTCCGGTTTAGGGTTTCATTTTCGGGTTTAGGTTAGCCCTAAACCCTAAAGCCCGAAACCCTAAAACCCTAAGTTCCCTAAGGAGTTGGTCATCGGGCGCATCATGGAGGGCAAGACCACCGACTGGGCACGCGCACGAAGAGCCGCCGAGCAGATCAGGCACCCGGAAGAGACGAGAGTATATATATATATATAGAGTAGTAACGATCCGTAATGTCACCAGTTATATAATATAAGGGTAGTAATAAGGGTAGTAATAGTAATAGTAATAGCAATAGCAATAGTAATAGTAATAGTAATAGTAATAGTAATAGTAATAGTATTAGTAATAGTAATAGTAATAGTAGTAGTAGTAGTAGTAGTAGTAGTAGTAGTAGTAGTAGTAGTAGTAGTAGTAGTAGTAGTAGTACTACTAGTACTAGTACTAGTACTAGTACTAGTAGTAGTAGTAGTAGTAGTAATAGTAGTATAGTAATAGTAATAGTAGTAATAGTAATAGTAATAGTAATAGTAATAGTAATAGTAATAGTAATAGTAATAGTAATAGTAATAGTAATAGTAATAGTAATAGTAATAGTAATAGTAATAGTATTAGTAATAGTAATAGTAATAGTAATAGTAATAGTAATAGTAATAGTAATAGTAATAGTAATAGTAATAGTAATAGTAATAGTAACAGTAAGAGTAAGAGTAATAGTAATAGTAATAGTAATAGTAATAGTAATAGTAATAGTAATAGTAATAGTAATAGTAATAGTAATAGCAATAGCAATAGTAATAGTAATAGTAATAGTAATAGCAATAGCAATAGTAATAGTAATAGCAACAGTAATAGTAAGAGTAATATGCGTAAGCAGAAAAGTGTTGACAGTATCCGTCGTCGTGCGTCGTGATGGCCGTGAGTCTCTCTGGATGCCCAGATTCCTGCATCCCTGCGCAACCATATCGGTGGTATGTAAACCCAATACCTGGGCATGCCAGTAAGAATTCAAGAGGCGGTGGCGGCTGCTGTGATGGAAGGTTCGATTTGTAATCCGGAATGCCTGAGCTCAGCTGCAAGAGTGCACACTCTTGCGGTTGAAGTCTTACCCTCCTGCTCGCTACGATGCGTTTTTCAGAGAGGAAGCTTGCCATTTTGGGGGGTCGAAGCGTACCCCCCCCCCCCCTGAAACTGACTCACGCTAGGAAGGAAATTTTCAGCTGTGGGGGCTTGCTGTAGGATCATGCACCTACCGCAGAGGTCTGAATAGTTTGCAGCAGCATTCCGAGTTCCCCGTACAGTCCCTTCATAAGTACAACCTACCCTACAGCCATATCGCCATCGTTGAGGGCTAGCTAAGCCCGACACCCTTTATACAGAAACCTGAAAACCATCTCAGAAAGCGTTTACGAGCTCATTCTAGTTATCAATGATCTCCCTAGAGCCGACACTCGGCAAGACCCCTTTTTGTTTCACTCAAGGTCTCGTAAACTGGGGCTCAGGGGCTTCCGGTGTAGGGTTTGGGGTTTACACCAGAGTTCAGGGTGTGGGGGTTCGGGGTTTACGCCAGAGGTCTTCAGTAGTATCCCTTTGTCACCTACATTGTACAGCCTCCGTACATAATCTGCATATACTTACATGTGTGTGTGTGTGTGCGCTGTTACATGCCTTCATGTGCAAGCTTGGATGACGGAACCACAAGCAAGATCAGAGAAGGACCAAGCAGTAGCACACGGTTTAGGGCTTCAGCGTTTGAGGCTCAGTTACTTGCAGGTTCATGAGTACGTCCGATAAGTCCCTTAACACGGGCTATAAGTGTAGGTACCCGGCTTATAACCCTACTAATAGCTAACCATGAACCTCTAAGCAGGATCTCTTCCGACAAGGAGGCTCTTCAGATTGAGGGACTCTGAACATACGAAACCTTGCCCTGAAGGCCTTTGAGGGAGTCGGGGTTAGGGCGGCTTGGGACGTAGGCTTTTGTCATTTCAATTTCCGGGATTCGGGTCAAGGGCTGGGACTTTGGGTTTGTCATTTAAGACATATTGGGTTCAAAAAAGATATATTGGATTACATGACTTTAAAGCCCAGCTGGCAAGAAGCTCCTCCTACCAAGAGACTGCTCAAGGAGCCCCAAGTACACCACGAAGGAGTTCCACGACTCTGGCCTCAGACGGTTGCGCTTTCGGGTTTGGGCTCTGGGTTTTAGGCGCCGCATACAGGAACCCGGAAAGGAAAACATGTAAAGGAGCTCTAGATGCGAATTTATTTCGCCTCCTTCAATCCAAGGGTTACGTGTTCCTGACACGAGGCATATCAGCTTGCTGACTCAGAGTTGGGTGTCCCGTAGCGATGGAAGGTGTGATGCGCCCTTTTCAGGGTCCTTAAATGCCGCTAAAGAAAGTCCTACGCCCGCCATGAGTAGGTAACCTGAGAGGTTTCAGGTTTAGGATACTGTCCCCTTCCATTGCTGAGAAAGTTAAGCATTTTCGAGGCCATGGAGCTCAACAACTGGGTTGTTTCGCAAGTTCGAAGGGTTTAGGGTGTGGAGATTAGGGCTTGTAGGGTTTGGGCTTTTTGCCTACGGTTCAGCGCATGCGGCAAAAACTTAAGCTGTTTTTTACTTGACTCGTGTAAATGCAAAGGGTTTCTAGGTACGATTACATGATTCTGGCTCCTAAGGGAACATGAGAGAGCCCGAGCGTCAGAAAAGAATACGTTTAAAACCCACCCTAAACCTAATTAATGTGCCGGTCGGTTTAGGAATATGGGCTCTTTTAATGCGTTTTTTCCGGGGCTAATTCCGACCGGTCGCCCCAAATTGGGGTGGTCTAATTAATGCGTTTTTTTTGGCTGGGGGTATTTTATGGGGGCGGGGCTGTGCTGTTTGCTGATGGTCAATCTTAAGGCAGCCACGACCTGAAGCCCCCACCCAAACCCTAAAACCCTGGCCCTGAGGTTTTGTAGGCTTTCTAAGGGGCTCGGCAGGGCTTTCCTAAGGTTCAGGACAGGAATTCTAATTAAGCCCCACAAACCCCAAATCAACAGAAGCCCCCAAGAAACCCTCCTATTTAAAACCAAAGCAAACCACCCCAAAGCTCCCGAAACCTACAGAACCTTCTTAAGCCCGAGTACTTAATTAATTAATTAAGCACCAAACCCTACAAAACCCCCCAAACCCTTCTACTTAGGCGCCCAAACCCCGAGACTCCCGATTCCCTCTAATTGTTTAATTAATTGTCTTAATTAATTAATCAAAGCCACCCAGACCCAAGCTGCGACCCCGCAACCCCCTTCTAATTTACTTAAATAATCAAAGCCACCCAGACCCTGAGCCCCACTCAGACCCCTGACCCCTGTCCGGGGCTACCGGTTCCAAATTAAAGAGACCAAAACTTTTTGGTCGGGGGGGGGGGGCTAGTACTAAACCGACCGCCACATTAAACCCTAAACCGTATCCGTTAAAATTACAGAAGCTGCTTCCAAGGATGACATCACAACTGCTTTTCCAGAGCTTCGGCTGTATTGCCTGGTTCAGCAAGAAGCCGCTCGGCGCGAAGCCTAAGGCGCGTATGGGAGCTTCCGGAAATTATGGGTATCTTATGTTGGGGTCCTGAAAATAGGGATCCTACTATTTAGGGTACTACATTAGGGTCCCCTATTTTCGTGTCGTCGTGCATAGATTGAAGTCGTTCATACATGCCAATCTAGAGGCTGAACACAAAGGGGATTTTGGGTTTCGGGATCAGGATTTACTTCAGGTAGACTAGTGACTAGTAGACTGTTTGATAACTTCCAACCATCTCCAAGTGGGAAGTCTTTGTTGCCAAGAAAGAGCATAAACCCCAAACCACAGCGACAAGTTGAGGGTTTGTGTGAGGCAGCTGAAGCCAAAACTTCAGCACGCTCCGGGCAGTTCTACGCCATCACACGTGAGTGTGGATCTGAAATCTTGCCGCCCTTCGCACCCTCACGGACAGGTTTGCAAAGCCAAGCCTTAGGGACCCAAAAGGCACATAAGCATAAGCATTTTATTGGGATATCCCTACCTTATTGGCCCTCATTTTAAGGGGGTTTATATGGCATATCCCTATCCTAATTTTTGCTTATGTGCCTTTTTGGCGTTCTAAAGCCTTCCACTTGCCCAGAGCCCAGGAGGACGACATCACTAAGAGCCAGAGCCAGACCTCATCAGCTCCTTGGTGGCAAGAGTTGGCGGCTGGGGGTGCAGGGCTTTCGTAGTTTGGGGTTTAGGGTATAATACAGGGGCTTAAAAAATTACCAATACTATTTTGGGGGTTCCTTATTATAGTAGAATATACCCCAAAACCCTATTCTAATTATTAAGGCCCCTATAGTAGGGTTTGGGGGAGGCGAGGCTCTGAGGGTCGGATGACACGGGGTTGTGGTGCGCCGGGTCGGGGCCGAAGAACAGTGAACCCAGGCAGTCCTCGCCGAGTTCGGGTTTAGGGTTTAGGGTTTGGGCTAAAATGCACAGATGATGAGCCCCTTATACCAACCTCAGATCCGATCGCTGTGGTTTCAACAAGGAAACAGCAACGCAGCACGTTCTTCTAGAAGCTGCTAAACCCAACTGGCTAGAAAAAGGGAGAACGCCTTGAACCCCAAAGCCCTATAGGCCCAAGCCCATAATACTATGCAACAGGTACAACAGCGATCTTGGTGACTGGTTACTGACAGTATTCCCTTGTAGTCCCTATGTTAAGGCCCTTATACTATTGAACCCCGACATTACGGAACCCTGAAAAGGACACCCATTCTGATATCGTGGCCTTAATCCTTAGAATAGGTTTTGGTGCCAATTATGCTATAGATATAGTTAAGGAACCCATCAAAAGAGCATATATGTATACCCCTATAGTAATCATTGAGGCTCGCATATGCGACCGTTCAGCGAGCCCCGACTCGAGGCCAGCATCACAGCCTCCGGCCGTTCGGCCTTCGACGAGTATCAGCGTGCCTGGGCCCTGAACCCTAAACCCTATAAACCCTATGCTGCCGAGGTAAACAGAACGACACTTGGGGTCAGGGTTCAGGACTTAGGTGTTCAGGATTTAGGGTTTTGGGGGTGTTGGGTTCATATAGGGTTCAGAGGCAGCCTAGAGCATTTTTATGTCCCAGCCTGTTCCTTCTCTTGCAATCGCTTAAGCTGCGACATGGTGGCTCGCTTCGGCTTTAACCCTGCGAAGTAGTTCCTTTTTGGGGTTCGTATATAGAATCCTATAAAGTAATCCCAAAAAGGAACTACTTTGGCGCCTATGGGTAGAGTGATTTGGCTGTGCAAACTTTGGGTTCACGGGCTTGGAGTTCTTGGCAAATATAGAACCCTGTAAGCGGAGTTTGGTGTTGTGTGCACTGCCAGCAATCGGGGTTTCCGAAAATCTATGGGTTCTATACAGGGTTTAGGGTTTACATTTTCCGAAAATTAGGGGGTACCTTATTCTGGGGATTATAGCAAGGATCCTACTATTTTCGGTGCCATATTAGGGTCCCCTATCTTCGGAAACTCCCAATGCAGACACCTAACTGACATAGGATGCTTTGATGTATATGGGCAGTTCAGGACCGTTAACCCGCGGACCCAGGTTATTTTAAAGGTATGTACGGCTTGTATTAGCCACCTGGCTTCTAAGGTGGGTACGTAGCCGAAATAACTACTGCGAAACCCTTTAGCCCCCCGAAGCCTAAGACCCCCCGGATGCCACTCATGTCTATCCGTTTTTGTCTGGGGGACTGCCGCGTGTCGTTTGCTACTGGTTCATGAGAAGTTCAGAAAACGTCTCAGTCTTCTCTGGCAGTTCCGAGCTTGATTGCACGTCCCTAAGGGTCCATGTACCCAAGTAGTATATTGTATTTGGGCCTTCAAGCAGTCCCTATTTTGGTGCTTCAGGGCCAAAGAATATGCTATTTGGGTATATGGACCCTCAGGGTGCGTTACATGATATCAGGGCTGCAGGGGTGGTAATATAGGTGCTTGTTGCATATGTATAGTTGTCAAGCTATTTTGAGGATCTGGGCCCCATGTTAGACCAACGCATGCAAGGCACGATTGGTGCACTGTTCTGCGTTTTCTGGCTGATGACCCTTAGCTGCAGCAGGAGTGTTGGCATTCCGTTCTTATTCTTTCCGGCTTTTTTGGGGGTTATGCCATCGTCAGTAGCACCAAATACCCTGGAGCATGCCTTGCCGCACGACGTCGTGCCCGGCAGTGCCCTGTTGAGTTTCAGGTTTCCAGTAAAGCATTGGACAGTCTTATCCTATATGCAGTTGAGACACTGAACTGGGATGCCCAGTAGTGCCCTGCTAGGTCACGAGCCACATCTATAAGATTCAACAAGTAGCTCCTTTTGAAAGAGGACGTTAACACGGCTTCGCGGTTTTCGGTTGAGTGTGTAGGGTGTAGGGTTTTGGGGCGCGAAAGAAGCTCTAATTGCGGTGGATGAGTTCCTAAGCTTGGGGATCCCCATGAGTTGAAATTGTTGCTCCTCTCTCTGTATGCCTGTTAAATAATTCTCTTGGTACATCCATAAACCTGCATTAGACTGACAGGAGCTTTCATGCTAACCCACCAGAAGCCGCATCAAACGCTCACCCGTCACTCGCCCCCCCTCCAGCACAGAAACAAAAAACATATCGTAAGCGATTCGTTTCCCATAGTCAGCCTGAGTTGAATGCCGGACAGGTAGTTCTCGATGATACTTAGGCTTAGGTTTGGGGTCTGCGGTCATAGATTTGTGCAGGGTGCTGCAGGTACTGGAGATTGAACAGACTGAACATGCTGGGCTTTAGGTTCGGAGTTTCGGGTTAAAGGGCTGTTTGGTTTAGGCTTAGGTCTGCTTCCTGGCATACTGTACACCCAGCTCCAGGTTCGAAAAGGGTTCAAGCTATGGGGAGCAGACGCCATGTGCAGGGTTTCGAAGCCCTCCCAGCTCAGCCAGCCATGGATCCATACATGAATCAGGCAAGGGTACCTCGTTTGGGATCCTTATGAGGAATCTCCCACCATTTAGGGCTGCTTCGGGTCTATATGGGAGTTTCCTATAATGAAAAGGGGGTGTCAGATGTTGGGGTCCTCAGGGTCCCCTATTTTCGGAAAGCCCCATATACAGGGGTCCCTCGTATCCGAAACCATCAAATCGAGACGACAACCAGGCGGCAACACTTGGACGGCCGTGAGTGCTTCGCCTACGGCTTGAACCAAGATTGGCTGCCGCTGCTAAGCTGATGAATTGGTGAGGCTTTGCGACCCACATCTTTTGTCCCAAGCTTATTGAATCGAATATGTGTGTATATGTAAATGTACACCTTCAGGCATATCATGTCGTGCTTGTACACACAAAATCGATATATGTATATGTGTGTGTAGATATATGATATATATATATATATATATATATGTATATATATATATATATATGTATATATATATATATATATACATATATATATATATATTTGTATGCGTATTTGTTTGTGTATGTGGATGCGCATGTGTATACGTTTGTGTATGTGTACGCATATGTGTATGTGCATATGCATGCGGAGTGCATGTGTATGGGTATCTGTGTATACGTGTATGCTGTTACGATGTTAGCATGCATTCATGTATGGGTGTATATATATATATATATATATATGTAATTACGCTATAGTATATATTACAATAGATTTCAATTGTAACATAACACACACACATTTACACATATATATATATACATACATATTTAGATACGTGTACATAGCTCCACGTGCTGAGGGGCTAGTGCCCTTGCAGAAACCCGAATCCCTGAACCCTAAATTCTTGCTGAAGCGCTTAGAGAAGCGGAGGGGCGGCGAGGCAGGCCCGTCCATGTCCTTATTCCAGTGTAGATCCCGCAAACAGGGAGAGCACCACCACGGCCAGAGGGATTAGGGCTTAGGGGCCCCCTAAAGCTTCGCTGCCGGCATACACTGCAAGTCCGTGCTTAACGAAGGGACCCCCAGCTGCTGGCATCCGCGAGAGTCCGTTTGTTATAAAGGGGACTCTTGGGAGCACCAAAAGTCTAATTAGATTGTGTAGGGAGGCGGCAGTTGCTGTGTTGAGGGAAGCTACCTCTTGCGAGGCGAACAAGACTATAATATATGGGCCTTAATGCTTAGAATAGGGTTTTGTGGCCCATCATATTAGAACTATGGTAATTCCCGAAATAGTATTGGTAAATATTTAGGCTCGTATATTACACATCCGTTTCCAGCCGAGGCGCTCGCAGAAGGACTTTACAGATGAGAACGACAGCAATCTGGCAGACTTGGGTCAGAGGATTTCCAGCCTGGCTCCCTTGAAGCCTCAAGAAACCTAAACGCCTCACGATGCAGCCCAGAACCTGAAGCCTTGTCCTAAAAAAACATATGATAGCCCTGAGACCCAGCAGTGGATCCCGCTTGTTGTTCGCTTCTGGCTCACTGTTGGGGAGAGTCAGTGTAGTCGATCTCGGAAAGTCCGGAGGCGTAAGGCTTTCTCTCAAGTGTAGACTCAGTGTAGACATGTACAAGCCTCACGCAACCGACTCTCTAAGCCGAAATAAAGCCTGGGTCTAGAGATTACGGGGCTCCGAGCATACGCTGAAGGCGGCCACAATGATGAACTTCAGTTGGAGTGGCAGAAGCGCCAAGTGGCTTGGCTCCATCGTATTATATGGTGTTGAGTTTGGAATTTTGGCTGTGTGTGGGGTGGGTCTGGGATTTGGACCCGTGCTTCAAACACGCAAAATCTATTTTAAGGGGGTGCGACAACTTCACAGAATGCCCCCTGACACAGACTCAAGACCCTAGACGGTGAAGACTCCAAACCCCAAACCCCTGACCATCAAAAAAGCCTGAAGAGCGTTGTTACGTCGCGCCCAAGACTCCACAAGCTTAAATTCAAAGTCCTTTTCATCCTACCTGCATAAAGCTGCTGCTAGGCTTGCTTCTGAAAATGCAGAGAGCCCGATATGATTCAAAAAGGCATGTTTAGAAACCCTTGCAAAAGCCCATCACACCCTGTGAAGACCCGCTCCTTTACGATACCTTGGCTGCTCTGAGCAAATCCGAGGACTTCTATGAACACACAGATTGGGCCGCTTTTGAGAACCTCCTGATCGTTGCAGGGTGGCGCGGCTCTTCCGGGGAGACTGTGGGCTTTGAACTATGATGCAATATGAGGCTTTTGTAGGGACTAGGGTTTGGGAAGGTCAAAGGTTTTGAAACCAAAGCGAGAGCGCGGATCCGCTTGTGCCTGCAACACTGCTGAGCTGTTGCGTCCAGGCAAGATAGAGGGCAGTACTATATAGGGGCCTAAATAATTTCCTACACTATTTGAGGGTTCATTAACATTATGGTATCATGGGCCCCAAAACCCCATTCTAATTATTAGGGCCCCTTGAATTCGGGTTTGAGGTCAAGACCAGGCGGTCAGAAGCAGCTCGGTTTAGAAACTGTGTCATTTTGAAAGACTTAAACGGTTCTGGGGTCCGAATGCCCTGATACCTTCGGGTAGAAGGAGGGAGGGACCCTTACTAAGGACCCCTGGGTATATACCCTTGATATAGCTACTACTTACCCATTATATAGCGCATTATAGGGTAGGGCTCCCCATTAAGGGTCCCTCCTTGTCCCCTTTGGTCAAAGCGGGCACTCACTGACGCAAATATGGAGCCTTTCGACAGGTTCAGAATGCTTCCCCTCTTGCCGATGTTCAGTGGGGCGAGTTTTCTGCTGCTTATGCCTACCTAAACGACACTTCTTGTGCAACTAGACGAAGGGAGAATGTTTTACACTCTCTGTTCGGGCCCCTGTTTGATTCCCTGTACGGGTGTTCAATTGCAACCCCACCACGTGCTGATTGACTCTTTTTCTGTCGCGAGTACGTCCAAGGCTTCTAGCTTTCGGCATACCCTAGTGCCCTAAGACCTACCAGCCAAGATGTTGAATTCTCAACCTGTAAAGCCCTGCTACACAAAAACGTCAAAGCTTTCCGGCGAAGATCAGAAAGTTCAGGGCTTAGTGGTTCTTTGTAATTAGCTGTGTTTAAAGTCCCGTTGGGTTCTGGTTTCGACACCTCGGGTTATTCTGTTCGCACGCCTCCGAACTTCAAGCCGAAAGCCAGAGTTCCAAAGCTTAATGCCCTTTCAAGCACCTGGATCCTTACTTTAAATCCTAGGGGCCCTAAGCCCTAAACCCTAAACCCTATAAACCCTAAACCCCAAACCCGAGAACCTCGTCTTGCATGTCCGAGTTGCGAGGTGAACCCCAAGCCCTTTAAACCCTGAGCCCTAAACCGTAAGGGCCCTAAGCCCTAAACCCTAAGGGCCCTAAGCCCTAAACCGTAAGGGCCCTAAGCCCTAAACCGTAAGGGCCCTAAGCCCTAAACCCTAAGGGCCCTAAGCCCTAAACCCTCAGGGCCCTAAACCCGAAACCCTAAACCTCCAAAGCCAGAACAGCTCGGGGAGCTCGAAGCCCCAAAGCCCGAGACCAGCCCGCAGTCGGAAAGCCGAGGCTAATGAAGAAGGGAGGCCCGCATGATGCGGAAAGGCGACGGCGACGAATGTTGGGCCTGGGGGGATAGAGGCTTTAAGGATTTTTTAGCAAAGTACCTGCGCATTCATGTTTCAGCTGCTGACTATAGTAACTATAGTGATATCGAGACTTTCGCAATATCCTCGCCACAGTACTTGGACAGACTCACACCCCACAAGCTCCTCCTTTTCAACACCATCCTCCAGACTCTAGCCGCTTCTGCCAACCCTACGGGTCCATGTACCCAAATAGTATATACTTTGGCCCCAATGTACCTATGTAGGGACTACTTTAGGGCCAATGTATATACTATTTAGGTACATGGACCCTTAGGGCAAGACTTATACACCGTGCAAAGCTACCAATTTTCCGGCAGGCTTACCATGGAAACCTAAAGTCAGAAGTCATCCCCGCCACCCCCCAAACCTTCAAGATACAGCATGCGAACTCTGCACACCTCTTTCCTCAACACTCTTGCCAGCAGGTTCCACTCCAAAGGTTCAGGCTTTGGGTGGTTTCAGCTTTCGAGTTTTGGCCTTTGCTTGGATGGATTTCGGCTACACGTTTTCGAGTGCTACAACCCTACTACAACTTCTCGGAATGCTAAGCCCTCAACCCTAAAAGTCGAAACGTTTCCAAAGCATTAGTTTGTTTGCGAGTGAACTTGCGTGTGCATGCATGCTTATTTTCACACGTGCAACAACGTATCTACTGATGCAGACATACATTGTACTTAAGCAGCATGCAACGGAGTAAATACAATTGCAAATTAACATAGCGCACTTAGTTTGCATGATATAGGCATTGCTGGAAAGCCGAAAGAAGCTACGGTGCTTCGGGGGTTCAGAATTTCGGGTTTCGAGTTCGAAACTTGCCGTGGAAGTGCTCGTGTTAGCATCTTTGGGTTGCAAGTGCTTGTGTGAAGGTACCGGTTGGGCCGTTCTTGCTTGGGGTTTTGAGTCGTGAGGCCTAGTTTCATGTAATATCATTGCTGTCTGACCTAACATTGAAAGATTGCTTTGTTCGAGGACGTTGACACTGCTCGTCTTGATGGTCATCCATGACCTGATGACCTTCGTCGATATGAGCACAAGCTGGGTGCAGGAGATGACATTTGCGTGGTTTCCACATGCAAGAGAGTGTATTGATAATAGACCCTTAACCCTGAACCATCGAGGAAAGTAGTTGCATCAGGCTGCCGATCTCGTCAGGGTTTATTTCGCAGAATTCCAGCACGATTCACGCCCTTGTGGTAGCTTGCAGTCTGGCCAGACACCAGATTTGCCCGAGTTGCCTGGCCCGAAGCGCATGATGAGATGAGAGCGCAGTCACTGTAACCTTCCTACTGTCATTCAGCCGTAAGTCGTTGTTGGCAACGGGTATCCCAACGTGTGATCATCCAAAACTACCGATCCATCCTATTCGCCTTTTTGTTGCACAGTGGGAAGACCAAACAACTAACCTGACCAAGGAAGCTGGATCGATTGCGGCCAATCTGTTCTGCGAAGACCTTCATGGGCTACAAGAAGGGCGAGCCGTTTCTTGGCTCCCATTTCGTAGGTGGAAGTTGGCACTGCTCCGAAAGTTCGTCATGAAGCCTTATTATTAAGCATTTTCGAGCGCCACGGTTCCGCCATCCTGGCCCCCAAGCAGCAAGCCAAAGCAAGGTAATAGCAAAATACATGAATATAAGGGACTCAAGAATGAACCTAAAGGGTTTAGGAGCTTAGGGTGCATTAGATCACGTGGAGGGTCGGGGGACTTAGTACATAGGTAATAAGTAGACTTATAAGTACCCTAAAAGGGACGCTAATTGGGGGTTACAGTATGGTACTTATAAGTCCTTAAAATAGCCAGTTACTGAGTCCCCCGACCCTCCAAGCAAGGAAATCTGAGGAAGCCCTTGTCGACTCCCCGGTTTGGCAGTTCAGATGACGGGCCTTGTCGGAAGCTCTTCGCAAGAGATTCTTATCCAAGTTATCGACCCATGAAGGGTAGGGGTCCCCATTAAGGGTCCCTCCTTTTCCCCTCTGATCTTAAGAATCTCACCATTTCATAAAGGCCCAATGAATAGCTTCTGAAGTAAGATACTGGTTGATGGAAATACAGTATACTATGTCTGTTTTACTACCACTCTCATACGTGGGGGCAAGAATCTGCAACCACTGGGAACTACGCGGGCCCATGTACCAATGACGCCGACGCCTGCGACAGGATTGGCGACCACGATATTGCGCTGAGCTCCCCGGACTTGATCCACGGTTTGAGATTCTACGGAGCTGCAGAAAGTGGTTGTGTGGGGAATCGTAAAGAGAAAAGAGGCTCCTCTTTTCGCAGTTGCGGGGAAATGGCAAAGCTCGTGAACTAGAGTCTATGGTAGATCTCCCCTTCAGAAGTCATGTCATAACCGGGTGTGGAATCGTCCAGGTCGAGAAGGTATGTCACACCCGGGCAGTCCACCTGAGTTTCTTTGTCGGAGGCATCTTTGTTAGTAAGTGGGAGTTTTATCCCCATGCCCTCCAATCTGCACGGTTGTGAGATGTGCGGTTAGGGTTGTGCAGGCTCATAAGTGTAGAGGTTTGGGATTCGGGGTTTGTTTGCGTGTGTGCATTCCTGGCGTTGCGAGTTTTGGTTTGAAATTGAAGGGTTGGAGAGTGTGCAGGGCTGGATTTGGAATGTCGTTGCACACCTACAGCCTGCATGTAACTCAAAAAGCTGGAGCTATGAAGGCCTCTATGTACATGAAGTTGCAAACTGTGTATGAATATGCCTGTGTAGTGTAGGCTGAGTTGAGCAGGTGGGTACCAACGGCTTTGTCAGCTTAGGTTCCACCGACATGGTTGTAAGCCACATGGTCAAGCATGTTCGCCATGTTTTGAATCAGTGAAGGTCCGGATCCTCTTGCAAGCGTCAATCTGTCGTGGCAACAGGCTATGTCCTGGAGCGCCACCCCTTGTGCCTACCCTCGTTTGCTGGGCTGCCGGGTGAGCAGCAGAAGAGCATCCGCTTCACCCACTGCACCTTGACGTATGTTTAGCGGACGTGCGCAGATAAAATCGGCTGTGTCCCCAATATCCCTCAAGCCTGTCGAACAGTATGCAACTTGTCCACCACTGCAACTTTCCGAAGCGGTTTCTGTTGAAAGTTCCGCTTCAAGTTGATGCCTCCAGTCCCAGTATGCTAGTTGCATGACGTTGTGCTTTCCTACCCTACCGTACGTGCCGAACCACGAGACTACGATACCTTCAATGCACCCTACAAATGTAGGTCTAGCTTGGACGAAGTGACAAACACAGCTTTCGGCTGATTCGTTGGAAGTGTGATGTGAGATACGTGTACAGACCCTTCTATACACATGTTCTGGGTCTGTGGATGTAGATTTGTTCCTTTCAAGCATGTGTATGGTCTGACAGTCAAGCACACTAAGTCGACATGTAAAACAGCAAGACTCGCTAGTTGCCGCGCGGCACTCTACACCTCTTTGACATACTTCTGCTCACCACAGCGGCAGGTTGATATGTATGCAAAACCGACCCACCCACCTACCTTTGTCCCTCTGCCGCCCTCACCACCTACATGCCGAACATGCATACGTATATACATACATATGTACATACCGACACCTATTAACTATCTACACAAATATACACATACCTACATACATACGCACATACACATACCTGTACCACACCATGCAATACGACACTGCAAGACGAAGCAGAAATCAACGCTGCACAATGCAATGCAATGCAATACAATACCCACCCACATATACATACACATAATTACACACATGCACACGTGTGCGCTCGCGTGCATACATACTTACTTATACATACCGTCCATGCGTCCATGCACCCGCCCACTACCCACGCAGCCAGCAGGCCGGCCAGCCTTCCGCCCATGCGTCCGTGCATCCATCCATCCAGGTCCATCCATCCCTCCGGCCGGCCAGCCAGCCAGCCAGCATCCATCCATCCATCCATGCATCCATCCGTCTATCCTTCAATCCATCCATCGTACATGCATGCATGCCTCCGTGCGTTGCACATGCCTTTCCTTCATCAGGACCACAAAGCCCTCCTTACTGCCCTCACTGACTTCCATGCATGGTTTTATGGATTACTGCATGGTTTTATGGATTACAGCCGTGTGTATGTACATGTACACACAGTATGTATGTACGTGTGTGTGTGTGTGTGTCTGGTGTTTTCAGCAGGACTCCTCTTTCGGGCAGGTGGTTGAACTGTGGTAGTGTTTCCCCACACAAACCGGTCATCGTTGCGGGACGTTGCCCTCGAGTGTGGACCATGGCTTCAGGGCTTTGGGGTTTGGAGCTTTGCCTGGTTATTCTCATTCATGCTCGTAGGGGACAATGAGACATCGGGGTTGTTTCTGGACTTGCGCCTTAAAGAAGTACAATATACCTGCCTGGTGCTTAGTAGGGAATGGGGGAATGGACTCCTATAGTAATATAACCCCCAGAAGTAGTCCCCATAACCCATTCCCTACGAATAACCAGACACATGATTGAGTCCTGAAGTGGAGCAGAAGAAGCCCTGGGCTTTGGAGTACCATACTTTAATGCTGTTGGGGGACCTGTTACTTAAAGGGAGCCAATCATGAAATAAAAGTCTGTATGGTTTTTCCCCTGGTTACTTCAAAGCCCAGAACCAGGTAAGCTGGATTACAACATGGGCTGGCTGGCTGCTTTGCAGCAATAGTCTTGGCACGGGCGCGGGCTTGGTTTGGCAGAAACTTTATCCTAAGGTAGTCCCTATACGTGTATTTTGCGGCCGAAGTGTATGCTATTTGGGTACATGAACCCTTAGGGTTAGTCCTTTATGTTCGAAACTTGAGTGGGCAGATGTCAGGGTTGGTATCTCTTTGCAAGTGCCCCAAGTCAGCCTGGCATGTAGAATCTAGTACCATGTGATGCTCAATCTTACATAGTAAGAAGACTTGATAGCGTTTCGTTCTACAAAACCCTATTGGCCCAAGCCTTAACCCTGAATGGCGGCGCTCAAAAAGCTAGAACCTCATATGTGTATATGTACATATATATATACACACACATGCACATATCTATATCTATATATCTATATATATATACATACATACATACATACATACATACATACACACATACACACATATACATATGTATATATATATATATATATATATATTGCACACTCAAGTGTGATTTTTGCAGTCTCGGCATTGAAACTCTGACTCTGTGCAAGCCTCGGCATTGCAAGTCTTGACAAACTGATACCAGGCCACATCAAATAGGTCTGATGGTGAGTGTATATTCGGGATACTAGTCAGAATGACTTTGCTGCGCTGCCGAATAATATTGACGGGTTGGGAAAGACACCGGACTTCGATACATGGGGTTACACTGCCATCTAGAACGGTTAGCTTAAATGTTATTGCGGTCATACTGGCGATGCTCGACGCTGGACACGACCAATGTGGCGGTCGGTTTAATAGTGGGGTACCCCCCCCCCCCCCCCCCCCCCCAAAAAAAAAAGTTCTATTTAATGTGGAGCCGGTGACGCCGGGCAGGGGTCAGGGGTCTGAGTGGCAGGGAATTGGGAGGTGCCGGGGTTTGGGGGCTGGCTTGGGTGCAGGGTCTGCGGTTCTGCGCGAATGCGCGGTCGGGGGTCGGGGGGGGGTCTGGGGATCACCAAATGCTGGAAACCAAGCCCCGATCACTCCAAGATTACTACCAAGACTAAAAACCCTTCATTTTGAACACTTTTGCCTCCCTAACCTACACTCCCACACTCCCACCCACAATCGACCACGTATGAAGCTTGGTGCGGTACAATGATAGTACAGTAGTACAATAGTAGTACAATAGAAATAATACAGTAGTAGTACAGTAGTAGTACAATAATAGTGCAGTAGTACAATAGTAATACAACAGTAGTACAGTGGTAGTACAATAGTAGTACAGTAGTAGTACAAAAATAGTACAGTAGTACAATAGTAGCACAATAGTAGTACAGTAGTAGTACGATAATAGTACCGTAGTACAATAGTAGTACAGTAGTAGTACAGTAGTATTAGTAGTATAATAATAGTGCAGTAGTACAATAGTAATACAACAGTAGTACAGTGGTAGTACAATAGTAGTACAGTAGTAGTACAATAATAGTACAGTAGTACAATAGTAGCACAATAGTAGTACAGTAGTAGTACAGTAGTAGTACGATAATAGTACAGTAGAACAATAGTAGTACAGTAATAGTACAGTAGTAGTACAGTAGTACACTAGTAGTACAGTAGTAGTACCACAGTAGTACAGTAGTACAGTAGTAATACAGTAATAATACAGAAATAGTACCAATAAGCAAAGCATAAAGCCAGTGAGCACATTCCCCCAATAAGCAAAGCATAAAGCCAGCGCCTGAAACCCTAAACCCTGAACCCTGAACCTTAACAAACCCTAAACCCTAACGAATCCTAAACTCCTAAACTTCCTAAACCCTATAACAAACCCTAAACCCGAAGCCCTAAACCCTTCCAAAGGGGGGTCGGTCCAGATTCGACCCAAAACTGCATTTTTTATACAAAGTTTAGTACTGGAGAGGCCTCTTTTGAGCTAGGGTCCAATCCCCGATTCGGCGGTTCACCCTAGCAGCCCCCCAGCCCCCCCCAATAATCAAGGTATAGTAGAATAGTAGTACAGTAGTACAGTAGAGGTCGTGGCTGCCTTAAGATTGACCATCAGCAAACAGCACAGCCCCGCCCCCAAAAAATCCCCCCAGCCAAAAAAAAACGCATTAATTAGACCGCGCCCAAATTTTTGGTACCGGTCGGAATAAGCCCCCGAGCCGACGCACTAAAGGAGCCCATATTCCTAAACCGACCGGCACATCACATACAACCCCAAACACATAGATCCTGAGCTCGAACCGGTTTCGGATGGCATCGGGTTCGTCTCTCTTGTTGTCTCGCATGGCAGATCTTCCCGTTAGTGTTTTTGATCGCTACAAGGCAGAGGACGGCACGGGGTATTTGATGCTGGAACAGCCGACAATCCAGTCAATCAGCCTCATGTTTCCCCGCCCCACTCTGGCAAGATGCGCGTGGTGAGTGTAGCGGTTGCCAATCGTAGCGCAGACTCAGCAGCCGCCGCTGTCAGAGTAATGATAAACATGCTCTACCCCGCAAACCTGTGAGGTAGGCAGCAGGCCCCGCCCCGTTGATGTCTGACGCACATACCTCACTTTTCTGATAATAAAGGGCAGGGGGCCGCATTGTTGGAGGACCACAAATACATATGTCTAACAGCTCCACCCGCAGCAACATCATAACATCAGTTAGTGCAGTCATAGATCAGTGTTTTCGTTGTCT